TTAAAGTTTGCCACTGTACCTTGTCCTCAAACGCCCCCTGAAACTTCTGATGCATAAACGGCGGCGGAATCTTTCGAGGACAGAATCATAAAAAATGAACAAAAAATAAACAAACATCTGTTCTATTGAGCTGATGAGTAAAAACATCCAGCTATGTGATTAAATCCCATTTAGTCTAATTTCAGAATTATAAACCTTGTATATTCTCAGATTTAAAAATGCCAGTTATTCTTGAATTAAGAGTAATCAGAGACACCCGAATGGGTATACTGCTAATCAAAAATTATCCAGTGAAAAGTACAAACGATTAAAGTTAAAAGTACTTGGCTTATTTTTTTCTTTGGACTAAAGGGAATATAAAAGTGCAATTCTATTTGTGACAATTGATCGAACGCCGAACATGTATAGATTTTAAAATCCTTTAGTCGTAGACATAGCGATGAGGTAAAAAGTTCAAATTTACAGGTGGACTTTAGATTGATACACAAAAACGTAAAGAAAACATGATCGCTATAATCAATTAACACGTCAACGCATCCGCATTCTCGTAAATAAAAGGTAAAAAGTTCATGTTTACTGTGAAAGTAAACTTCTCTTCAAAAGTTTTGAAGCAAAAACAAAAGCAAAAACTCAAGTCATGAAATATGTTGTATGTATAATTGCACTGGGCTCTTTTAAGAAAGTAAGTATCTCCCATTTTCTCCTTTGGGAGTCGATGTGGCTATCGTGGTGTGACAGCTCAGGGATCCCAAAGTACTCGGTTTATCACGTTTCTTTAGCAAATGCAGACATTGGTTGCATTGTTAGTTGTTAACTTGATACATGGGTACTACTGCATACATTTTATTTATAAGTATTATCACGAACAAATTGGCATTGAAATGCTTAAAATGTGACCTTAGAATTATTTTAACGAAAGATGCAGACCCAGCTAAAAGTTCTAACGGATTTCATTGATCAGATTCATTCAGTTAGTTCTTAAATCTGATCTAGTTTTGCTCGTTTACTGTACATTTAAATTATCAATCATTCAAAGCATTCATTTCAATTTCATTCCCTGCTTTTTAGTCCAAATATGCTTGATAGTAATGATCGGATGTGAAAAAAAATTATAACAATCTAGGCCGGTGTCCGTGTCATCACCTTTATTCTTTACGGTGGGCAGCACCTTTAACGTCTGACCTTTGTAATCGGGCCACTCATATTAACCTAGATATGCAAATTCTAATGTACCTGAACTTCAGCTAACCTGTATAATTTATTGGATGTTTTTTTTAATTTTTTGTCAGGGTAATAACTCTTAACGGTGTTGTTGTTTTTTTAACCGATAAGGTTCGTTTATACGTGTATCTGTATCCGTTAAGTGAATTCTACGTTAAGGTGGGACAGGTATGATGACTTTTTACGCGTGTCTCCATTGAATCAGCTGTTATCAAACAGCACCTTTAATCATACTCTACCTACCTTATTCAAATACATGAACGTCAAGGGAAAGGAGAGTGTAATATGTTCGAAGCAATATTTTCCAGAAGTACGTTTTCTTTAAAATTCTCATTTAACTAAGCTCGAAAATTCTACTTTTAAACCAGTGTATTTCCCAAGGCATACACTCACTGGATCGAAATAGGCGTTTTGCTAGGGCAAGGTTATAATTGTGACAATTTATCAAAACACCATTTCGTTTCTATCCCCACTTCTTCCGTAATGATTTATGGATTCCTATCAACAGAATATACGGCTCTAGTCTATTTCTTTAGAATGACAAGATGCATTCTTTTAAAATCTCTAGAAACGTAGATTGTTAAGTTGAAATGGTTCATATAAAAATGCCCTAATTAGAAATATAAACGTTGGGGTGTTGACACAGGCCCGTAGCCAAGATTTGCTAAAGGGGGGCATTTTATGAAAATTCCAGGGGTTTTCACTTTTGACAATTTTGGTCAAAAATGGCCAAAATCACTTTAAAAGTGTTCAGAATGATGAAACGCATGATTTTGAAAGGATTTTTGGCAGGGGGGGGGGGGGCTGGCTACGGGCCTGTGACATAAATAGCATATTTTTGTACAATTGCACGCCTAACTGTAATACTCTCATTTAAATGATTGCATTAATATTTAGTTAACTATATCGTATGGTGCTAAGCCTCATTCCAAAACACTCATGTGGGGACATTATTTTTTTTTCATTTTTGTCGATTTCCTTGGCCTTAGAAGGATACACATGAATTGGAATATCTTGTCCTGAGCCAAGAATGGCCTTATGAGGACAAAAAGACGGTTAGTTCCGCAATAAAAACCTCCAGAAATCGATTTAGCGAGCATCTATTTAACCCTTTACAAGAGATCTATTCTTCGACTCACTCTGCATGGCACTACAAAACAGATATTAAATATTCCGAGACAATCAGAGTATGACGATCTACAAAACATTAGCGACACCCTAAAATATACTTTCCCCAATTTAATGGTTATGTTGTTCGAATCCAGACTGTCAAATGATGGTTGATACTTAGAGGGCGATATACCAATCACGATGGACCAGGGGAACTTGTCCTCATAAATTCTTTAACTGCTCTATAGCTAGAATTCTTACAATGGGAACCTTGTATTATTTACTACAGACTGTAAGCCTCAATTGACACCTGATTTTTATTCCAAGGTTTCTTTAATTGTAATATCGGGATATCGATACAAGGGCACATCCTAGGTGATGGTTGCAAGAAGGACGAAAATGATAGAGAAAGTTGCGGGGAAAGTTGACCCGGATGATCCTAAAATCTCATCAACTATTTTTCTAATCCATTTAATGTCTGCTTTGTTTTTTTTTGACGTAATCATTACTGATGAATAATTGCAAACTGTTAAACAAGTATATTCATTCAATACTTTATTCATTCTATGGCTACAACTACAGATAATTGTGTATGTAGTCTTACGGTGTGTAAAGACTAGCGGTGTACCTAGACTAACAGGGTAATGATGTATATAACTAACGTAGAGCGTAGACTAACGGGGTCCATGGACTAACGCTTTACATAGACTAACAGTGTATATTTACTATCGGTCGAAGTACATAGACTATAACGATGAACAGACTAACGGTGTACACAAATAACGTAGAACGTAGACTAACGAGGTTCATGGACTAATCATCTACAACTAACAGTGTATGTTTACTAACGAAGTACATAGACTAATTATGAACATAGACTAACGGAGTACATTAACTAAAGTTAAATTTAGACTGACGGTGTACACAAATAACATAGACTAACGAGGTTCATGGACTAATCATCTACAACTAACAGTGTATGTTTACTATTGGAGTACATAGATTATAACGATGAACATAGACTAACGGTGTACAATGACTAACGTTAAACGTATAATGACTGTGTACACCAATAACTTCGAGCGTTGTACATGGACTTACGCTGCGTACTTAAGATTGATGACAAGCAAATACTGACAGTGAACATAGATTAGAGTAAAACAGATTGTAATAGTGCATTTGAGTTGCCGAGGTCTTATTTTAAAACTCGACATCACGTGAGTTACGTGCCGTCTGTGAATTGCAATAACATAGACACTTGAAAAATGAGGTAACTATGTCAATGCTAATGTTAATATTGAATCGAATGTAGTATTCAAACGATCGATTTACGAACGTCAATGGATGTTCTGATTGGACGTTGGCACATATAAATAAAGAGGATAATTGATTTTGAGGTGAATTTGAGGTGAAGAGACTAGGGAAATGAATGACGTAGCACACACAATTGACTGGAATTGTAGGCCTATAAAATGCAGACGTTTTTAAGACTGAAAACATTGTAAGAATTTAAATTAAGGAATCGCAATAAACAGAACATTTCCATTTCACATCCAGTGTTTTAAACTGGGACGGTAGAGATGTTTTCGATGCGATGTTATGCAGTGGTTGTTGCTGCAATGGCTTGGGTTGTGCCAGGAGCAATGGTTGTGCAGTACAACCAATCAAGCACAATTCCAAGTCCTATGGGTATGTATTGTGTTTATAGCAATTGCAAATGTTAGTGTTCCTTTTTGTTTTTAATACAAGTGTACTTTTCATTTCTGACATTTTACCTTCTAATATACAACATTTGACCTTTACGTGCAACGATGCACATTTTATTACATTATTTGTATAATTTGAACACCATTAAAGAAACTTGTGTGAAAATCCCTTGGCGGTATTTCTATCGATCTCGATCAAAATGGAAAACATGAGAGAACAATGCATGACAATGTTTTTGTTTATTTCTGAGATTATGTCATATAATGTATTGGCACAGTGTGATTTAACAATTGCGAATTCTCTATCGGTTTTAATACACAAAACCTTCAAAGCTAAAAAGAGTATAGCTAAAGTTGTCTGTTTAGGTGTTTAGAAATGGTTAAAAATTGTATACACAGCCATACGTATATAAACATTAAGAAAAGACTCGGAGTGTCAATGTCATGTTCAATGTCAGGTCGTATTGACGTATTATACACGTAGGGCACTTGGATGATAACATATATGTTTTAAAAGAAGATGTACGGGAACATGTGGAATAGATTATGATTTTCTTAGGGTCAGTTCTCCCCTTAGATCAGTAGTAATCACTTGTTCGTTCTATCATTATTGAGGGATAAGGAAAATGAAATTGTTTTAATTAGGTCCTTAGAAAATAACAATCGAAATAAGAGTATACGTATGTGGGCATAGTATGTGGGTATAACATTACATGTTTACACAAAAAAACTCTCTTAAAACGTGTAGCATAACCTCCTTATATATTGCCTGAACATGTAAACACACCTGTGATAATTACTAATTAAGAAATTCAACCTTAAATAAAATGAAAAATCAAAATAAGGGTACGTGGGCAACGCGTTCACATACTCGTGCATCCTCCGATCACAGGGCTTCAAAGTCCAGAACATATTCTTAGGATGATACTCGTGTAACTTAAATATGTTTTCATGTATTTCCAGGTGTTCTTTTGTTTGTCTTATTGGTTGTGGCGGCGGCGATTGTGTCGCATTTCGCTTGGTTGTGCCCGGCGTCTGGTCATTCGCACAACCATTACACATGGAGTTATCTTTTAATTAGCTATATACAGAGATGGAAGGTATGGAAAGCGCATCAAAGTATGATGAAAGAACTCGAGAAGAAATGCATACACTTCTCATCGGAACAAGAGCGATTGTTACGTGATATTATTTCAAAAAATAAAAACACAATTCTCGGACAAGATCTGAACTTGAAAACTATCCAATGTAGACACGATCTTAAGAATCACCTGTCAATAGCAGACTATGCAAAATATAAATCATACACTGAACGAATGCTTGCTGGTGAATCTGATGTTATAACCCCGGGGAAACCACAGTATATCGTCAAGACTTCCGGCACAACCGGACAATCATCGCACTACTCAGTCACAAAGGAATGCATAACACCTATGGTTACAACCATGGGGATGTGGGCAAGTTTGAAACAAAAACATTTTTCAGGGATGATGCATTTAGGGCGCAAAATGACCCTTATGTTTTCGGCTAAGTTCGGTAAATCAAGCGGTGGTACTTTGATAGGTCCTATTTCACTCGGAATGGCGATATATCACCCAGAATGCTTGCAAGAACTTGCGCAAAATTCCACAAGCCCTCCAGAAATTCGTCAAATTCAAACAGAACAAGAAACGTTATATATTCACCTTTTATTCGGACTATTGGATAAAGATTTAATATCGATAGAATGCACGTATATTTCTGTAATCTACTCAGCCATGATGGTATTAGAAAGCCGGTGGCGACATCTAGTCAAAGACATAAGAAATGGGAGTATTTCAGAAAAATTAGACATTCCTGAACCAGTTCGTGATCAATTAAACAAACGGCTGTTTCCAAATCCCGATAGGGCACTTGAAATAGAGACAGAGTGCAGTAAAGGCTTCGAGAGAATTATTCAGCGACTTTGGCCACGCTGCAGCCACATTCTGGCTGTTGACACTGGTACCATGGTAACATTCAAAGATTACCTGTCCCCGAGACACTGCAAGAACATACCGATATACTCCGCTATGTATAATGCATCTGAAGGGTTGATAGCATCAAATATATGGCCCACACAGAACAAGCGGGAGTACCTCCTGGAACCGGGTGGCTCAGTTGTCTACGAGTTTCTCCCCATTTACGATGAAGACATGGGCGAAGATGCCGAAACAGTTTTTGGAGATGAGGTAATTAAGAACATGTTCCACTTTTCTTTGTAATCAAGTGTAAAAATGAATGAATTTTGCACGTAGCTAGACAACCAACGCCGTCTAATTACATTTTGTATCCGAAAATGGTGGAGCTGCCAGGAAAATACATTTTAACTGACATGACGAATCGATCATTATAATTCCATTGACCGTGGTTCGTTTTGGACTTATGTACATGATTTATATATGCCTACCTTAATTGAGACTCTATTATTACGTTATTATTATCCATTTTTGTCATTAAAGGTCCAAGTTGGCTTTACTTACGAAATCATCGTCACGACGTATAGTGGTCTGTATCGCCATCGCCTAGGTGACGTCGTCAGAGTTACCCGGATGTATCATAATACACCTGTCATCGAGTACCTTTACAGGTAAAAACTCAAAGTAATTTTGTTATGATTTATGTAAGAGTTTTCAAGAGAAACGTTTGAAACAACGTTTGACCTTCAGAAATTCGTACGTCTTCGAAAAGATTTTAGCTTGAAGGTTTATGCATCTAGGCTGTATCTCAATTTGATGTCTTAATAAGAACTTTTCCTAATATTAGTTCATAAAGCTAGGAAACTATTTACCTTTTTCAAATTGGCTTAACTTAACCTTGCTTCAATACACCGACCAATGAAGGGGTTAGATTAGAGTTGCAAAACTTTTTAAGGTACTGTATAAATCGTTTCTTCAATCATTCATTTGATCAATTTCTCTCTCGTCTTTCAGGAGAGGTGAGGTGCTTTCCATTTGCACTGAGAAAGTGACAGAGGTTTCCATTAAGGCAGCTATCTCAAAGTCCCTGGGGGTCCTAGGACGAGACGATCTGGTTGAGTACACGTGTACCCTTAGCACTGTTGTGGATGTACGAGGCGAGAACAGTAAGTAGTGGAATGTATTACATTGTATACATATAAATCAGTCCGGGTTCGTACCACTATAAGTTAGATTGAAAACATGATGATTGACACAATATGCGACATTAATTCAGCTCATTATACCCAATATAATAATTATTATATATAATATTATCACTCCTAATATACTAGCTAATATTTAGATAATTTAGCGCTTCAAATGTCGAAAAAGTTGATATTTCGTACTATACGTGCAAGCATTTGAAAATTTGTGATTTTCTATATGCCACCATTTTCTTTATTTACCATTCTTCATGCTACCATCATTTACCATATTGCAAATGTTTTCTTTTTTTGCAGACAATAAGGTTGTCCCGCCGTACTATGTGATATTCTTGGCGTTCCAACGTTCTGCTGCAGCCATATGTCAAAGGAAATTGTCAACCGAGGTAAGAAACATGTGGGTAAACCTATAACCTTTACACCTACTCACCCATATAGGTCTTGTCAAGAAAAGCACAGTTATTATCAAAGGGTTGACTCAAATCGCTCTTATAAGACAATACGTTTTTAGTCAACCCTCTATTATGACAAAACAGGTGACATCTATTTGAATTATTTGAAATTATCCTGATTATCAAGGACGATACCTTTCATCACGTCAGGCGTCCATAGGGTTTTGTCAAAAGTTTTCGGTGTTTGGAATCAAAGTGGCAGTAATGCCCTTATGTTGCGTGATTTGAGATATCCTATCAATCGGAAAAGTTGTCGAATATTTTTAATGCAAATTTGCGCAAATTTATTACAACTGGATCCTGAAAAAATCGTCTATTTTCAGATGGACAATGCGTTACAGCTAATACAACCAAGTTACAGAACTGCGCGACAAAGGAGTCTCATCCCATCCCCAATACAAGTCCAAATAGTTGATAAAGAAGCATTTACGAAACTAAAAGACGCCATCTTTGTACAAAACGGAACCAGTTCCAACCAGTTTAAACTACCGCGATATTTGAAGAAAGCGGAGCATGTGAACATTCTTCTGAACAACAGAGTTTAGTCTTCTTTGCTGACATATTTTAAGGCTAAGCACCAGAATAAAAATCAAATAGCCCGTATTTAGATCAGTGTCAGAATGAGTGTTAAGACTATGTTAATAAAGATGTCGCTCTTGCAACTCATTCTTGCAACCAAATCTTGAGCTCGTAATTTTTTTAAGACTTTTGATACATGGGCCAAATTTTATTGGTTGTGAATTTTGCATAATAATACAAACACATTTTATATACATATGTGTTGTATACGAGGGTATTTTATAAAGTTCTCTTTAATTTTTTTATTTTTCAACATATTCTCATGAAATTTTCATAGAATCTGCAGTATAGAATACTGTATTAATCTATCAAGAAATATTTGGAATAACAGAAATATTAGATAAGTAAGGGTTGCCATAGTAACCGGAAATCAAGGCACCCGGGGCAAAAAAATAATTGAGATATAATGAGCTTTGTTAACCTTGTATACATACATAATAAACTCTCATAAATTATCAAACACATTAAAATGTTATCTTGAATATGTTGTTTAATGCTTTTACTATAAAATAAATTGACCATGTGAATTGTGTGATGTCATAGAGGATGCTTACATGCTTCATTAGATGTGATATCAGACTCTGAGAATCAAAGCTTAATTATCAGAAATGACTGAGTTAGATAATGCATAGATGCAGGGATCATCAGAAAAATAATATTCATACTGATAAAAAGTTTAGTTTAGTTCGAAAAATCTTTGCTCATACTAAAGATGATCTAAAACAAATATGTTGCAAAGATATCAACAAAATTACACCCTATGTGTGGTCTATTATTTATTTAAGATGAACTAAAGTGGAAAATCGACTTTCCTTGGAATATTTGAAAGAACAGTTGTAGTGTCTAACATCACTTCTAATGAAGCATTACAATCATCCATTATGAGATCACGAAATTCATATGACCATTATAATAGTTCAAAACAGTCAAGAATACATGGTGTTTAACAATTTGATGTGTTTCATAGCTTATTTGATAACTTATTATGCATTTTAACATGGTTAGTTGGGGCTATTCTTGCATGATTTTTTATTTGCCCCGGGTGCCTTGATTTCCGGTTACTATGGCAACCATTTCTTAAATAATATTTCTGTTATACCAAATATGTTTTGATAGATTAATGCAGCATTGTATACTACACATTCTGTGAAAAATTCATCGGAATATATTGAAAAATAAAAAAATATTTTGAGATATTATGAGAACTTTATGATATACCCTCGTATAGTGTAATTTATGTACGCTTTAATATATTCAATTTGCTAAATATATTATTTATTACGTATTTATATGTTTTAGTTTAAAAAATAAAGTAACGTCAATATGTGTTATCACCCATGATATCGAGAAGCAATGCCGAACAACTATTTTAAACATATATCAAAATGTGAGATTCGATATATGTAGTTGATTGGTTTTACCAAATACAGTCATGTGGCAATGCCAAAATATTTAGTTCGCAAACAATAGAACAATAATTAAGTCAAAGCAGTCTAAAACATCTCATGCAATGCATAATTAGCTATTTTGCAGAGACATTTTAAAAGTACATGTTTAATACACCAATGTGATTCCATTATTCGTTGCACTCTATATCATAAGGGAGTTTAAGCTTGCAGATAGAATCGAAACGCCAACCAATACGTATGACCAATCGCCCATACAAATGCATACCTTAAATATTTCCCGTTCACGTTCACATTGCAAACTTAAACTCCATATTCTTTGAAATCGTCTGTTATGAATTTGCCCACATGTACCAAAAAAGAAAATAAGGATCTTGTATAGATGTCACATTTGTTCAATTCGCCCACACTAAAAATTAATTCTACATTCAGCTTTTGGTGGGGGAATTCGTTTCATTTCGAGGCGAATCCCTATAAAACTAGGGGTATTGAACACTTATGCAACTGTCCTTTCCCTGAGGATGAAACTGAGCAAATAAATTGATGACATAACTAAACAAAGCAAATACTATACTGTATCAAAAGGCAAAAGCCTTTTCTGGGTCATAGCGAATGGCATGATTTCCTCGAGTCTCTTCAGTTGCAATGCAACCATACTGGGACCGATTCGTGTCGTTCCACTACTGCCCTTGGTGGGGGCTCGCTACCATACTGTATGACTCCCGGCGTCTACTAAAGCACATCAGTGGAGGAACCAACCACAGTCTCACAATCTGTCTCTGACAAGAGCAGTCAGAGAACCGACCCAAGCCAAGGACCGGAGGTTGGACCTTCGGACCGGGTGTCCTGTAGTGCAATGATCAACGACTCCGTACCTGGGGCTCGAACGCGGGACCTCTGTATCCCACCGTACGCTCGACTACAACATAACCCTGCTCGTTAACCTCAGAGCTATCCTGCTTAGGTGTCAAAACTGATAAAAATGCGGCAGTTTTTGTAATTTCTAGCTTGAATGAACATGACACCCAAATTTATAATCCTATTTTCTAACAGCATTGGTTGAAATAGAGTAAATCAAACACAGTTAATCACCAAACTGAGTAAAACTGTAGGCCACCTCCGAAGAAATAAGCAAAGACCCAAACGTATAAGATAATACGTAGTAATGGAACTAAATATTCTGGTACGTAAAAACATTTTTCCAAAAGTCAATTATCCTATCACTTGAATGAAGTGGAAAGAAACCAAATTACGACCGTCACTGTGTTTGCTGAGTTTGGGAAAGCGTATAGTAAACAATTTAAGGCCACTGTAAATTAGGTCTTTGTTATAGTCTTCTATAAGAGGACCTGTTCTGAAATGGATTGATGACACTAACTTGATTTTTAATTCACTCTGAGGTGGTAATTGACAACATATATGAAAATAGATATCTTGGTAGGCCTATAGGCAACATATAGGTGTGCTCAAAAAGGCAACCAATAAAATCTAGGACAAAATTCTACTCGACTTGATTGATATATCTTTTGGGTACAACTAAACAAATCTTTCACTCGAATTGACTTATGCATGTACATATATGTACAAAAAACGCGTGTGGACGAAGTAGACTCGATAAGCCAATTTACCACAGTGAATGAGTGGGTTAATTAGGGCGTTGCAATTGATAGAGCCGAACGAAAAATAGCTACAGTCAAAGCACCTACAAATCATGAACGTTTATATGGCAGTAAGTCGCGAGAAAACAATCCAATTTGATTATAATTTAAGGAGGATTGGAACCCGTCATAGTAGAGCAAACTCGGGGGGTATAAATGACCACCTATGAACTAAGGTTCCAATACACCTGACTGAAAGGTCAGACCTCATTCGAATCTTTATTGAATGCAAAATTAGATATTAATCCTTTCATACCCAAGGGGTCATTTATAAATTTTAGGAAAATCAATTTTAAAATGACAAATGGATTATTTTTAAGTCAACAATAACAAAGTGAATGTCAAATTATACTTTGGAAAATGTTTAAGACTTTGAACTAAGAGATTGGGGTCATAAGGTGCTGTGGTCCCATAATGCTACAAAATACTTCAAAGTTTCGTTTTCGATCGAAATGAGATTTGATATTTGAAAATAGTATAGTTACAACACATCGTTTGAAAGCTGGAAGGGTCACCTTATTGAATATCATTACTCTTGTGTGTCCTAGACCACAAACTTTGCTGTTAAGGACCTTGAAAAAATAAACCGATTTTCAAAATATATTTTGATTGAAAAGGCATGATTGATTTCTTAATTTTACCCCTTGGTGATGAAAGGTTTAATATCTAATTTTGCATCCGGCGAGATTCGAATGGGTGTTTTGGAACCTAGTGCAGAAGAGAGGTATTTCTCATATTTTGAAGACTAAAACTGCTGAGGAAGCTTGAATACTACCAAAATATTTGTAATGACCATCTTTTAACGAAACACTTGATCCAAAGAGAGCCTTATAGAAATATTTTTTACTAAATTGTTCCACTGCAGGCAACGGAGTATCGAGTTTGAATAATAGCTGCCAATCATCCTTGATTATAATTTCAATTACATTTTCATGCAAATATTAACATGTTGTGATAATACTGAATATAGGTTTGAATTTATTCTACTCTATGCGGGTAGACTCTACTTATAGAAGACTTTGAGAAGTCAAACGAGCACAAAGGGTTGTGAAATTGAGAAACACGAAATTAATCTAATTCAAATAGCATGGACATTTTCTTTGGGTCACCGTGTAGCCAGATTTTATTTCGCACTCTTGTTTGAGTGAGACACATTCAACAACAAATATTGAACTTCGGACATGCGGATATATTTTTGTGATGTCAATATTGATAAAATAATTGGATTTAGTTAATGACTAACGAGACTATCTGGTGTTTACATTCGATCCTTCTTTATTCAATTTTGAATTTTGTATTACCAATCAATCGAATTTGCAATCCACTAATGATATATTTCGTCATTGTCTGAAGTCATGGGGGGGGGGGGCAATCTGCCAACTCACTTCCCAGATAAAATTTCAATCATGAAAATTTAATCAATCTTGGAAATCCCGGAGGGAATCCAAAATATAACAGTATGTGGAGTTTGGAATACAACGCCTTGCAATATCTTATAATTGGGTTATGGAATTTGCAAACAATAGACACAAGATCTTTAAGTGTGTACATCTATCTATATAGAGCAAGATTCCGAATACCCTGATCAATCCATGCGAGTACCTCCACCCTCTGACCATAACAAGTAATATATACAGTAGTACGTCAGGATTATGTAGATTTTGTCTCAGTTTATTAATGGAGTTTAAACTTGAGATGAAAATGAACTATTTAAAGTCAGGCAATTATTGTGTAGTGGTTCTTTGGTTTGAATTGGCTGGATGAACAATTAAATAAGAGGGCGTAGAAGAATACAGGCTCTTGGAAAGGATAGATTTGAAGTGGTATAGACATAGATAAAGTTCAGTTCATAGGTTCAATTTTATGATTCAAACCTATCTCATACGATTTAAATAGCTCAATAACAAAAATGGCGAAGGTTGTTATATTTTTGACGTGCGTTTTAGTTTTGTTTGTTGTCGCAGAAGCCACGCGGATTAAAACAAAACCTTCAAAAGATGGTAAGTTTTACAGTTTATAAACTGACTTTGTATATTTTAATTTTGTTTTGAGATATTGCAGTATTGGAGCGTATTCTTCTAAAGGAAGACACTTCATGAACAGATAATTGTTGTTCACGATGTATTAATATTATTCTTCCATTATTCTAGATACATTACTATTCAAACCCCATTTTGATCAAAAAGCATTCATGAAGCGCTAAAATAAGCATTTACTAAAAGAACAATGTCTTGGACATTTTGGTGTACATCCAAAGAAAACATATATATTTAGTGCAAAAATGATAAACAATACATAGGTGCTGAATAGAGACTTTAGCAGGAGCTGAAATTACAATAAATGTGCATATTTCATCACGATAATTCCCCACTTTCTAGACATCGACCACCACGCAGAGATGATAAAACTTGCGAGGAAGGCCGCGAAAGACACGGCCACAAGTGGATCAAGACTCGGGAAAATCCTCAGCGTCATCAAGGAATACAAAAATAAATTCTGGGGAGGCAAGTCCTGGGCGAGCATCAAGAAAGAACTGCCTAAGCCGAGACTTCAGGTATATCTAAAGTTGACAGTTTATGCTTTGCGACTAAAAACACATCGTTGGTTTAGATTTCTCGATCAATTCATTTGAGAAGTTTTAAAAATCGAGTGTAATCTTTCAGTATGATTTCATATGGATTAAGGGCATCATTCGAATCTTGAAAAATATACATTTCATCGAAATATATATTCGGGGTCTCCTATATCCATACAATAGGAAATGCTGAAATATTTATCTATAAGTGGCATTGATACATTAAGTCTTTGTTTTTTTACCAAAACGTGGTCTTATGTTTCATATAATTGATGTTTGGTTTTGGGATCCTGCTTCTATTTCTAACTATCATATTCGCATATTTTAAATATGGGTGTTGCAACTGATTTATATTTGAATTATTTCTATTTCAGACGGACACCAAAGAATCAAAACAAAAAGAAAATCTGAAACTTGAGGTGGCACAAAATGACAAAACTGCAGATGTCGTAACCAACAATGGCGGTTTCACTCACACGGTTTGGTTTGCAGTTGGAGCCGCCTGCTTATGCGGAGTGGTTATTTTGGCGCTGATCGGAGTAATCGCAAGGAAGAGAATCCTGCGAATGCACGAGCGCAGACGCCTTGCGGATGGCCTTGTAACTAATGATTTTAATGATGATGCATTTGCCGAACAAGATGAGGTGGTTTTTGACATAAAGGAAAATCCTTTAAGTTCGTGACTGCATCAAGGAAAGAAGGATATTTAGCACAAGATATAGTACAAGCAAAGGCATTCTCGCAATATTTTTGCATCTAATGCCGTATTTAAAAAAAGCCTTTAAATGCAACTTAAAATACAACTCATGCAACTTATGCAACGGCGCATATTATTTGACAATATAATGCCGCAACTCCCTGACTCTTTGTAAAATATAATGGATCAACTCTGCAATGGCAAAATAATCTGCACTTATAGTACTGCTTAAAGGAGAATTGTTGTGTTAAACACCAGTCTAGTATTTAAAACAATGATAAGCTGACAGACTTGTGCTTTAGATAGATAAAAATAAATTAGACATACTTAACAAATAACACGTTGAACGAGATTCCAACTATATTTAGTCCATTCAATGTCTGGTCATTCAGATTTCTAGAACATATTAACCAATATGACCCTAACTACTTATCGTAAGGTTGGTTAGACCCTCGAGTATCAAAACATTTCTCACTATAGCAACTTTCTGCCACTGTAGTATGGGCACCGAACACTTTTTAAACATAATTTAGGAAAATAATCTTCATTATCAAGCATCGAAGCATGTTCTTAAACTAATATGTTCCTTTAGTCGAGTGTGCTTGAAATGGAATGGCATGCACGTCTCTCGTTACAATGGGCTGGGCATTTAATTTTTTGGAAAATCCAAAACAAGCTGGTTCAATGATGAATTGTGTTTTTCAAATCTCTAGGGGAGTCTATACGATAAAATAAATGTATCATTCATGGTAGAGAGTGTTCACTGAGTAAAGACTCTAGGTCTTCCATTTTTACATTTTCAACCAATCTTTCGAGATCTTTCACATCTTATCAGGGATGTAATTATGAGTCTACGTAGCAAATGTACTCGTATCTCAAGAATAAGAATACACTGGTGATCCACTCGATTACGCTGGTTACCGAAACGGTTCGTTTCGGTAACAAAATGTCGGAACATCGAAGGTACGGTTTTTCCCTTTTCCTTATTTCACACGTTGTAGGCAGAATTCCCATGACATTTTTATCACAAACGTATATCAGTATCATATGTTCAAGAAAATGTACATATTTGCGAACATATAGTTCACAAGACAGCAGAATCGTCGATTTAATTCCTCACTTAAGTTACATAAACGGTTTTTGGAAAAACAGTTAAGATCTGCACTTTTAACCCGTACCGTTTATGTAATTTAAGTGAGGACAATTAAATCGACGATTCTGCTGTCTTCTGAGCTATTTTTTCACAAACATGTGCATTTTCTAAAACATATGATGCTGATACATGTTTGTGAGAATAAATGTCGTTGGGATTCTACCTACAACGCGTGAAATAAGGAAAAAAGAAAAATCGTTCCTTCGACGTTCCGACATTTTTTTGGTAACCCGCGTAATCGAGCGGATCGTCATTGAATAGTTAATTTCATCATATAAAGTACATTCTGCTTTCATTATATGGCCCTTTACAGAGCACTATTTAACATTAATTAGGAATATAAGTCCACTTCTGCATACTTGCATTAAAACATGCTGAGAAAATAAGCAAGAATCCTTAAAATTTGGCAAAATGGGAGACCTATAATAGTGTCATAATTCATTGAACACCCTGTATTTTATCAGGTTATTAGTGTGAGAACTATATCCCATGGCCACATAGACGGTGTTTGTTTATCCAATGGTTTGTCAAATAAATCATACGGCACGTAGCCTCTCCGGTACATGGATGCCAAAAACGTTTCTCGCATCGGAGAGTTTTTTATAAAAACCCATTCCATGAAAATATAATGAACTTTAACTTTGTCTAAGAAGTTCTGGCTCTTTTTGAAAGCATGTAGCTCTGAGCCTTCGATGTCTATTTTCATGACTGCATCTGTAAAGTTAATAGTCTCAAGAAGATCATCCATATAGATTGATTTAACGATTTCATCTTTTGTTGATTGGGCACCCTGTTTTACAATATCTGTTTGTGAGCCACCTATATTTTTATCCCCTGCTTTTATGACCATCTCAGTTCGTTCACTATAGATGGCGTTGTGGTAAAGCGTGACGAGGTGATGGGTGTTACTAAGCTGAATGCTACGCGAGAGACGTTTTATATTTACAGTAGTTGCATCAACAGCGATAACTTCACGGTTCATATTCAATACTGGAAGTGTGTAACCCCCTAAATTCGATCCAATATCTATAAATCGATAAGTCGGATTCTCCTGTAGAATTCTTAAGATTTTTTTGACGTTCAGCTCTTCCCAATAACCATATTTGGCAAACACCCTAGAAACGTGGATGTCATTTGTAACCTCGTGTATACACATACATACTGGAATTGGTGCGACTTTTTTCGTGATAATACAATTGAAAGTTTCCGCTCCCGGTATAGTACCTCGAGTATTGACGATGTCTCCAAATTTGGGAACGTGTTTAGGAGTCGCTGTTTGTTGTATATCTGACGTCATTATGTTGGCATAGTTACAGTTACTTGGTATGAATATCTTTATGATGATATATGTTGTTATGGTAACCAATGTTGCCATGGTAATAAGAAGCTTAAGTTTGCCTGAAAATACAATCATTCGACATTCAAGTACACATTGAATGTATTACTGCAAAACACATTCTCTGACGGAGAATTATGCTTTAAACAAGTCTGCCAGAACAAAATTAATTTTGATTTTAACCCCCCCCCCCGTCCCCTCTTTGCCTCGACAAAAAACATGGTGATTTCACAAAATATATTCAAAACAAAATCATCGTTTACCCCGTCCTCACATGATAGTTAAGGATTTAAGCCGTGGACTCAGTGTAATGTGGAATGGTCATCCCTTGAAGGTGTTGCTTTCCAAAATTTGCACGAGACGCGAAGCATCGAGCGTTTATTTTAGGAAACAACGCCCGAGTCTTGGGCTTAAATTCTTTTCACGCATTGTAAAGGTCCATGTGCAGTATGGCAAGTAATCTTAGACAGTCAAGTTGAAAATGTATCAATTTCCATTTGAGTCCAGTCATCACCATGACAACCTTTTAACTAATGACCTTGCGTTCATTATCGGTTGTTTAACGGAATGCTGTTAGTTGAAATAGCATGATCTGATTGGCTGGAATTGGACACACATTGCTAATGCTTGGGTCACATATGCTCCGATCCATCGGCCGGCGCCCGGCGCCCGTTCAATATTGTATTCAATTCTGAACAAAATACTCAGTCGGCCAATCGCCTTAGTAAAAATTGGAGCAAATGTGACCAAGGCATTAGTTAGCTATGTGTGAGTTAACTATTAACGATGATATTTATACTCATTATACTCATGTGTTTTAAAGATTTTTATTATCAACTTCAAATGATACACGCCACATGTTGAGAAGGGGATTGGCCAACCATATAATCTCCGTCGTATATCCAATACAATACACTTTGAACCATAACTACACTATGGCACACCCGAGTACATGTACCATGTACGTTTGTTGATATTAATAGAGGGATTAAGCTACACGTTTTAAGAGAACGGGTGCGTGAACGTGAATTTGTTGTGATCTTCTAGGGATCGGTTCTCCCGTTCGTTGTATTTACTTGCCAAATTGAGTATTAAGGAATGAAGAAAATAGTCAGAATTTTGTTCCTGGAAAGAACAATTGAGAATAGATAGTAATCCCAGGGGGTAATTATTTCATATGTTCGCCTACAAATTCACTGAAAAACGTATAACTTAACCTCCCTAGCATTCAAATACAAACATGTCTCCATGCCTGCCAGGCCTTGTACATTAATATATGGTGGATGGAGCTTTCTTTTAAAGAAAAATTCTAACCGTTGCCAAGGGTTTCTTCATTGTTGATGACCTGTAATTTGGCCTCTAATTCTCAATAATTGTCATGACAGAAATCACCACAGGCACTGCTCGAAGGAGAGTATACGTAGTGTACGAATAAGAACATAGGTATAAGCCGAGATCGAGCCGGTAGATTTCCATATTAAGGCCAGAGTGCACTTTGGATTTTTTTGCAATTTTGAAAAGTAAACCACTGAAAATTCTAGTAATTCAAACATTCTGAAGAATTATCAACCCTCCATCAATAGTCTAGGTTCACCAATGCATCTTTTGTGCAAGAATGAAAGATGTAGACAGATAGATGATGGGCGGTATGAGTTATGTTTATTTGAAAGTAGCACATGGTCATGACTCAAAATGCACCCTGACCTTAACTTCAAAGATCCCTGTATAATTTTCGTGACACTCACGATGATTCCTCACCTTTGGTTAATATCCTCATTGTCACAATGTTTTTGATTTTAATCCCTCCAATATCCGTTCTCTATCGGATTCCGTATATAATTGATAATCACTGGTAACACATAGGTAATTCCGATATTCATTTGTGTTTTAAAAGACCGTTTAGTGATATATCAGTGTTTGCAGCCATGTCCAGGTTGTGCATTTTCAATATGCTTGTTTATCCACTTGATATTCTTATGCTTTATGAGGCCTAACACTTATGTTAGACGTGTAGGACTTGTTATATTACAAGCGGTACAAATGGCCGGCTGATTGTATGCGTTCTCTGTTATCTTTCTACATATTACAACTACAGACTTCTCATATTCAAGAATGAAACCAATCGATTATCTGCCGGATTACGTTCTTTAAATGAGTCTATTCTCACTGTCATATATGAGAGTTATAACCCCGGGTTATAACATGGCTATGCCGTCCAATTAATGATAATTGGATGCGTTCCGCACATGTGCAGTGCAAATGATTCTGCGCAGGCGCATAAAATAGTAGTCTAAGAATAGTTGGTAGTGTTATTATTCGATTGCAAAATATCATTTTATTCCCGCTGATAAAAATACAATTACAAATGCAAAATAAATAAAAAATACAATTACAAAAAAACATTAATAACTGACCCATGAGCATGTTGTACTGTTATTCTTCCACAATTGTATTATGTTTGTATTTTTCACTTTTGAATTGTTTAAGTGCAGGCATTTTTGTAAATTGTCGTATTTTATACATGAACTGGCATGCTATCTATAATTGTATTTCTTGCTTCATTCAATTCATATAAATTGTAATATATTTTTATATTGTACAACTTTTGATTTTAGCACTGATATGCCCTTTTATGGGTATCAAGTGCCAACACTGTAAATGTAATACTGAATGAATATGATAATAAAAATAAATAAAATAAGAATAAATAAATAAAAAACCAATAGCACAGATCGTGCACGTACATTTACTTCATTGTGCATATTTCAGTATTTTAACGCTTATTAGACTATATATTGATGGGTAGAGTGATAAGCTAATATCGTACAGTCATCAAGTTGTAGATCGCAATGCCATCTAAATATTGAAATATTGTTTATAAGCTTGTATTTGCAAATCCAAATAAGCGGCTACCCGTAGACAAACGGGTTGTTCATTTTTTCAACATCAAGATGACAGATTAATTTATTAAAATTAAAAGGTGAATCCGGAAGACGGAAGCGTGTGGTTGTATTCGCGAATGACTTACATAGGCGCATGAGTATTCCGAATTAACCGAATCAAGGAGAAATGCTACCAGGGTACCAACTCTAATTTTTCATAATTTAGTCTCCAAACAATTTGTTCAGTGCCGATTGTGCATAATCTACGACTGCATATTTCTACGACTGCAAGGAGAATAGCCGATATACTAGCCACAGCGACAACCTTGGCCTTGACCTTTAGCTAAGACGACGGCCAATTAAAGCAAGGGCGTTACAATACCCGGGAATTTATCGGTTCGTGCAGTACTTGTTTGTGATAGCGCCCTCTGTAGGTCACTGTGCTTATAGCCTACATTAATACGGGGTAGGATATCGGGAATTCGGTCAGTTTCCATCCGTCGATTTCGCTATGAATTGAACCAAGTGTGACCACTTTATCCACTTAAACAATTTGATAATTGATTAAATCTTTAAACAAAATCGATAAACACGTTATACACTTCCTATCTCCTTAGAAATTAGCATGTATTTATGGATTGTGTTTTCGAACAAGGCTCGACCCAAACCAATAGGGAAATCCTTATGCTAATTAGTATGACGTCATATTTTCCTGGGGAACCCTAGATTTCAAAGCCTCAGTCTGTTATTGTGTCAAATGTAAACGCTCTTTTGCAGACAGAAAATTGACAGATTAGCTTTTAACTTTCAGCTTTGATGTTTAAATATTCTGTATTTCTACCGGACTTCTTGCTGAATATCATATAATGTTATAACTTGATTTGGACCATTGCCTGATTGATCATTCTGAAATTTTGATTGTGACCGTATGATTGATTGGCGAGAAAAATAATTCCTATTGTTTTCCAGCGAAGTCAAAATGTTACAGCATGAGTTATAATGTCGAGTTTGCATCACGTTAAATTCTGCTAGTGATTAGAAGTCCATGCACAAGCATACACATAACTTGAGAGACAAACACACCCAGGCTCCAGGCCGTTGATGGAAATATAAAACTATTTAAGGCACAAACTGGTATTTAATAGACCGATATGTAGTGTCTGCCATGTATTGAAGGTAAACAATCTGCATTATTAATGTAACTTCTATCAATACATGGATTGTGCAATGGAAAAGCAATGGCACAATCAAAAATGTGCATATCAATCGTGAATATCTCTCGGTTCAAAGCTTATTTCCAACAGAATCGTGTCAAAATATGTGTCTGAGTAACAGTTATACATTATAAGATCGCAAACTCTTACCAATTATCAGCCGAATGGCTCATTTTCAACGAAATGTCCTTAAGACAACAGCCCTGGGTCGCGCCTGAGACCAAAAACTATTTCAAATAGCCCTCCCCTAATTATATTGGATAATCACATTTATGCGTGCGCGCGCAGCTCATCCACTGAACGAAACGCCACTTCCCGCTGAAATCACCGGGTATTGATCTTTCCCTTGATTAAAGCAAGGGCGTTACAATACCCGGGAATTTATCGGTTCGTGCAGTACTTGTTTGTGTTAGCGCCATCTGCAGGTCACTGTGGTTATATCCTACATAATACGGGGTAGGATATCGGGAATTCGGTGCAGTTTCTATCCGTCGATTACGCTATGAATTGAAGCAAGTGTGACCACTTTATCCACTTAAACAATTTGATAATTGATTAAATCGTTAAACAAAATCGATAAACACGTCATACACTTCCCATCTCCTTAGAAATTAGCATGTATTTATCGGATTGTGTTTTCGGACGATGCTCGACCCAGACCACTAGGGAAATCCTTATGCTAATTAGTATGACGTCATATTTTCCTGGGGAATCCTAGATTTCAAAGCCTCGGTCTTTTATTGTGTCAATTGTAAACGTTCTTTTGCAGACAGAAAATTGACAGATTAGCTTTTATGTTTCAGCTTTGATGTTTAGATATTCTATATTTCTTCCGGACTTCTTGCTGAATATCATATAATGTTATAACTTGATTTGGATTTTGGACGATTGCCTGATTGATCCTTTCTGAAATTTTGATTGTGATTCACGATTGATTGGCAAGAAAAATAATTCCTATTGTTTTCCAGTGAAGTCTAAATGTTACAGCATAAATTATAATAAGTGGGAAGTAGAATAAAGGATGGGCGGGGCCAGGGGATTGGTGGCCCTACCAGCCCCACCAATATTCACACGCATACACATACAGTAAGAGACAAACACACCCAGCCTCCAGGCCGTGATGGAAATATAAAACTATTTAGGGCACAAAATGGTATTTAATAGACCGATATGTAGTGAATCCGCCATGTATTGAAGGTAAAACAATCTGCATTATTGTTACTTCTATCAATACATGGATTGTGCAATGGAAAAGCAATGGCACAATCAAAAATGTGCATATCAATCGTGAATATCTCTCGGTTCAAAGCTTAATTCCAACAGAATCGTGTCAAAATATGTTTCTGAATAACAGTTATACATTATAAGATCGCAAACTCTTACAAATTATCAGCCGAATGGCTAATTTTCAACGAAATGTCCTTAAGACAACAGCCCTGGGTCGCGCCTATGACGAAAATAAGCTTGAATATCCCTCCCCTAAATAATATTGATAATCACATTTATGCGTGCGCGCGCAGCTCGTCCACTGAACGAAACGCCACTTCCCGTAGCTACAAGCCCTTGAGCCCTTACACTACAACAAGTGTGTCAGTGAGAAGGTGTTGCGTCAAGTAGATAGGCGGGGGGTCACAGAGGCGTGTATATCTCGTAGCAATTCAACCCTTATGTCTGCAACCTAAGTCGCAAGGGGGGGGGGGGTCGGAGGGGGTTAATTGGAGCCTTTCGGCGATTTTTTTTAATTGTCTGATTTTAATTAAGCTGGTGTTGCTTCTAACCTCATGAATTACTCCTTCAGAGAAAAGAGGTCTACAAAGGACAAAGTCAACGTCAAAATTTATCTAGGAGATGTTAATTACTAACATGTTGGGATAAAATGTAAATTCTCATGAAAGATTTTTTATAATATTCAATTCGATCAACTTGTTTTTGTCTTAAGCATTCACATTTCAAATTGTACAACAGATTCTTATTATCAATTCAGTAAGACATTAATGTTCGACTTGGCATTATTCAATAAATATAATTTAGGTCCGTGTTTTGTCTAGTAATCATCTAGCAACGGCATATGAATTTGAATAACTTTAAATTAAAAAATGAGTGAGGGGAGGTAAACAACGACTAAGTTCATACATCCGTTCTCACCAAAGGATGAGTCTGGGAATGAGTCTGGGTATCGACTTAGAAAATATCGAAAATTGTAATGTCTGAAAAACCTACTCAATCACACATATTATTAAACTTCAATATCTTATCCTTCTTCTGAGATTACAAAAATATCAATTTGTATCACAATTGATGAAAAATATTGGCATCAAAGACAGTGCATATCACTTTGTCAGAATTGAAAAAAATCAATGGCAAATATTAAATGAATTAATTATGCAAAAAGTTTGAAACATATCTTCCAAAACATTGGTTACTTTCTTTGAATAGACATTGAATGGTATTTCTGGATAAGTGAATTGGTGTTTATCTGGGTAATCAAGGGATTATAGTCACTCAAAGTTACTGAGCATCCAGTTTTGAGACTTCAATTGTGTTGGTGATGTTACCCATATTTCAGTCAAATTCATGCTGAGCACAACATTTTGGTTTAAATTCTATAATCTCTATACATGACCCTGGTGATGAAGAGTCAGAATCAGTCAAAAAACCTAAACCGGAAAACTGTGCTCATTGTGAAAACTAAAAGTGAAGCAACTTTTTTCCTGATATTTCTTACAACAAATGGCAACCATTTGTTTTTCCCCCTTCAAATTAAACTGGCGGGAAATTCAAAAATTTGAAAAAAATTTTAATCCTTAAATATATTTCAAAAATATGATTTTCTTTTTAATTCTTCATCAGTCTTAAGTTATTTCTTCTTTGTATGTCATACATGTTGCCATTGGTGTTTTTCCTATTATAATGACTATTTTTTGTTTGTTAAGATACTTATTCTGACTCTCAGCAGGGGGTTAATTATGCATCAAAATTCGTGAAAAAGTAAATATACTTATTAAATATAACTAGGACAGTAATAAAAACCATATTTCACATACATTTGACTGAGGGACCAAAAGGGCATATACCCAGACACATCCTTTCCTATTGATAACATCCTTTCAAAACAACAAAACACTTTTTGAAAAAACAGTGTGTCGAAATTAAACATGATTTTCTTCAATTAAATTATTGAATGTTCATTGTGTTCTATGATCCAGGGCAGGTATATAATGCCGAGATTGACTTGGCTTACCATTCAATTGCTGCAGCGACGGATTCTTCCAGAACTACTCCAACTAGATCCACAGAGGCTGGATATTAAAAGGCAAGTTAAGGGTAAGTTAGTTTATTAAAAGTATGCGCAGTGGCCATATAAGGCATTTATGTAAAGTTCGGGGCAAGCACCTTCTGAATGTAGTATTCTTAGAAAAAAATCGCAGGTAGGTATACAGTGCCGCAAACTGGAACTACTTCATTCGACAATTTTCATTGGTGAGGCAGGGATTTTACCTTAAAGTGAGTCTCTATCTTGGTGTAGGGATATCTAAAATCGAGACGCAAAACCTATGTTATATGAGCCTGGCCATAGGAAAACCGGTCTTATCACAAAAATTAAAAATTCAAATTAAAAAAAATTCAAATTCAAATCTTTCTTTTGGTCTATATCTGCACAGAAAAATTGTTGAGACATAAGTCATGGCTCAATTGAAAGGACTCTTTGTGCTTTTTCAGGGAAACAAAAAATCAAAATATTGAAAAAATCTGTGATAAGACCCCTTACATTTATACGCCAGGACTTGAATTTTGTGAATATTTCCAATGTATTTTTCAATCTCGGTCCTTTTCATTTGTCAACTTATATTCAATTTAATCACCCTATTAAATATGTGTCACCTCCGTGTCATTCATTTTCTATTTGCTTAATCACATACGCAAAAAAAACAATTGATAAATCTTGTTTTTAGCAAATAGTTCTATAAAGATCAATGGTATTTTAATGAACTATTTATTCAAATGAAATACCATGACCAATTCAAGTTTGTGTTGCTTGCCATGTCAAATCCAAGTGTGGTGCACATGTTCGTGTATTTAATGTGTTTCAAAAGCTCCTTCACCAAATCTGTGTTCTGAATTTCTATGGAAGTATTTCCAATCGTAACAAAACTGAGTTCACTTAGTTGGCATTGCATTCATTTAGTTATTTCATATATTAATTCTCGAGGATAAGATTCTGGTATGTATAATCATGGGTTTCTATTAGTGTTAAAAGATAAATACGTTTATATTTCTGTTTTCTTTCATTATACGCAACATTTGTCTGAAACAAGCATTCAAAAATTAACATAGGAATTCGATTAGGCCTGGGAGGTGAATACCATTTCCGTGAGCGGGATTGAAGGATAATTACGATTTTCAAGAGCGGGTTTGAGTGGGACGATACGATTTCTTTTTCAATATCAAGAATATTCCCGGGTGTTAACACAATGTATACACTTGTTGTATTGGGGTACTTATATGTTGTTAACATAACATATGTTGTTACCAATCACCATGTGATATATGTTATCAACCATGGTATAACCAGCTGATGTTCACCAAATCAATATAAAAAATAAATTCCGAATTTGCATATAATACTAGAATACCATTTAATTTTCGAATGTTGTTTAAGATGCAGTCACGCACGGTTATAAGTCTTGCTGTGGTTTTGCTTGGTGTGTTTCAAAAAGGGACAGCCACTGAGAAGAATGAAGTGCTCGAGGCTGTTCTAAAAAGGTATGAATAACTCATACTTTTAAATTGTTTACATTTGTAATAAGCAGACATATGAAAAATAGGGGAATTCCCTGCCCCAGCCTCGTTCTGAGATGTGACCTTGAACTTTTCTATCATTAACACTTTCGAAACTATATATATATTTACAAGTATTGACCAGGAACTCGTATGTCAAGTTGAAATCAAAACATCTTAGCACAAGTCACAGTGCCAAAGGGAGAGGACCAAAAAACTGTAAAGAAACCTAGCAATCAAAGTATAAGTAACTTGTGATATGAAAATAGACCCTATATATCCCAAAACCATGATCTAGTTAGAAATAAGATATAGTGTTAAACTTATAATTCATTATGAACCCAAAGTACCCTGATTTTAGAATATATTATTATTTTAGAATATAATGTTTGAAACTATTCTAATTACTTTTTTGCAGAAAACCAGAGATGTATAAGTCCACACATTTACTGGATGTATAATTCTAATCAAATTGTGTACAGGTACATTGTTTGAAACATTGTATTACAGGATACTCGAAGACATGTTAGACGACCAAATCCAAGTAAAAGAGATTGATGCCAGCAGCATAAAGGATACTGCCGCCATGACGCTAACTAAATGCTTTCGCGCAACTACATTATCTAGTTTAGGAAAGTAAGTTTCTTGACTTAAATATTCTTTCGTTTTTCCATTCATTTCTTATTTTAAATATCATTTCCATTTGAAATATTTTGTTTGAATATATTATCTATTGGCCGTCATTTTGCAAAATGTTAGTAAAAGTGATAAGTCATTTTTTTAGATTTTATTCTGCATATTTTGAATTACAAAAATAGACGTTAGTTCTTGAAAATACTAGAGTTTTCAAATCCCGTTGTAGTATTGCTACTCAAAAGTAAACTTTAAAATTGTTGTTTCAACGCTAATTTAGCATTTATAAGTACGAATAATTTTATTTTTAGGAAATTTAATATACTCGATGATGATAACTCAGATTCCATCACTCTTGAAGAATTTCAAGAGGGTCTGAACGACTTCAGATGTCAAATTAGCCAATCAGAAGCAAGACAACTCTTCAATTCCTTGGATATAAATGAGGATCACAAGTTGAACTCTAATGAATTCATTAGGGCTTTCCAGGTAAGATGTTTTGAAAAATTAGTCAGACTTTGAAAAGAGGGAACTAAAAATTTCAAAAAGGCCGTAGTTACAGTAAGCTTTTATATCCTGTTTAAGAGCACCTATCCTTACTATTGAAAATGAATTTTACCAAATACTTTCAAATAGAAAACATAAATGCTTCTTTTTAACATATCTGTATTAACATCATTAAATTATTATTAAATAATAAACGGTCAGTATTAACACCCATTTTGTGGCACTGGGTTTGTTTAGAATAGATCACTCGGATAGGGTGTTAAACAACGTAATTCAACGTAACGATTTGGGTTTACAAATTAACTAGATGGCACACAATGGACTATTTTAAAGAATGTTATCCATTTGCATATTTATAAATGTTCTGAGAAAAACTGTTTTATTTATCTCAGAAACCACTATCTTATACGAAGAAAGAGACTTTGGTGAAGGCATTTAATAAGGCTGACTCGAACCAGGATGGCGTGCTCAACTTAAGGGATGATTTGATTTCCGAAGTGTTTCTTGAGAACATGGACGAAGACGGAAATGGAGAAGTATGTATCCTTGTTCAAATGAATTCATACTGTTAAGTGTGTTTTTCAAACTTGTTTAATTTACGTAGCCTGTTAAGAGTCAATTATATTTGTAAAATTAGTTATATTAATTATTTAATTGGAGTGTTGATCATTGCACTTGTATTCAAGATATCTTTTATTTGTATTCCTGATTTATTTATTCACGATATCTTGTATTTTTAGGCCAACATCCAGGAATTCGCTGATTATTACAAGATATATCAAGGAATCTCTGATGCGTATTTTGAATATGCTTTAAAGAATGTGTGGACATTTGAATAAATACTAAAGACTGAATTCGTAAAAAACTTCAACGAACTAGCTTTTGCTGAATATAGAATAGCTTCGTCAATATGTTACTCGTTGAGAAAAAATCAGCGAAGAACGTCATACACTTGCCTAACTAGACAGTACACAATATATTTGAAAACCCGAGAGTTTTAGGTAAAATAAATACGATGTATTTGTGTGCGCTTTACACATGTTTAATATAAAAAATCAACTCACTATGGCATTTTTAACTGACCTCCAGATTAAATACATTGTCCATAAATAGAATTTTTCAAGGATAATCCATGTAGCTACACCCAGCAGATATCTTTATTTTAAGAATGACTATAATATTGTATACATTCTCTAACCCCTAGAAATCATTTTAAAACTTAACCGGGAGTACATTGTTATTATTAAGTAGACATCAATTGTTTGTTATTCCATCAATGCGAGCGAGTTTGGCTTCGTAGAATATTAACATTTAAAAATAATGCTCGGGTATTCACTTCAATAAAGTTAAATATTTGAATATTAAAATGGCCATGACATAAATATGCTTTATAATTTAAAAAAAAGCTGTTGTCAGCGAGTTTGTTTTTTCTTAAAGCTAGCAAACATTTGATCCCCCATGTTAGGGAATAGGATATTATAGAGTAAAGAGACTGTGATATCCCCAAAACTATGATAGGATTTTTTAATTGTTGCACACTGGAAAGTTTAATAGTTAAAATTTAGACTAAGAAAAAACATAGTTCATCGGCTACCTTTTTTATAGTGGTCTTCAAAAAATACTTTTTTTCAAATTGTGTATGTTTTGTCTAATATCATTGCTAGTTGAAATGTGCACCAAGGTGCTTTAAACCATTATAAATGCACTGCTGGGAATACATTAAATCCATCAAAATTATGTATCGATATAAATACTCTTAGACTAATGATCGCTTTTTCACTCTAATAAAATCTCGTATGATACACAAAAACGAAAGTGCAATAACAAATTAAGAACTTAATTATAACACATTCAAAAGTAACTTTGCCTATGACAATTATTTAGATGTTATAAAACGTTTTGACCTGCGTAAAGAGTTTACTAAACTTAGAATAAGTGCACATAATCTTCAATTTGAACTCGGTCGCTACACAAGACCAAAACCGACACCACTGGAAGGAAGAAAATGCGAAACATGCAATGTTATAGAAAATGAAGAACGCTATCTCCTTCACTGTGCGAAATATAATAAACAAAGAAGTATAATGTTGTCTAAAATGAAAATGCCAGTACAAGAAAATGTATTTATTTATTTGATGTCTGGTAAAGATCAAAACTGTATAAATGTAGCAAAATATATATTTACATCCAGTACCAACAGCTACATCTCTAGTGCACAAATGCATGTAAATATCTTCTTTTTCGTTCCTTTATAATTGTTATAATTTTTTGTTTATACATGTACTTGACCCCAAGGGGTGTGAATGTACTTGAAGAATAAATAAATATAAAGTAAAAAGTGTAATATCACGAAATTGATGTCCTCAAGCTGAACAACTACTTTACTAACACTCGTGAAAAGCAATTTTCCCATTGATAACTTCCTTTGAAAAGAGTATATTAAAGCTTTTTGAAAACAAATCAGCGTGTCAAGGTAAAACGATTATCAACGACATCAACTGAATTGAATTTCATGGGAGCCGAGCCAAGATGCATGGTAGGTATATAATGAAAGTGGACTAGTGTGACCATTCACCTACATCAGCGAAGGACTTTTTAGCAGATATACTCCCAACTAGCACATATTATTAAGGTATGTTATTATAAACTTAAAGTATTTGTGTGGAAACTTCAAACAGAAAATGTTAATAGAATCATGGAGAAGTAGCTACCATGTTTCTGGTACTGTAGTTCAACAAGTTAAACCTAGTCTGGGCCTTATTTCTTATCTGACATATCTTGTGGCCCGCAACAATAACATTCAGATTAATAAATGAAAGCCGTGGTATTGGGTTTAACTTGTTGAACTACTGAATACTGTAGAAAATGCAAAGTGATCATTATTGCTCTTTTTGATGGAATCATTTAGCACATTGAAAGCCCCTTTGTTTTTACCGTGCTTCATCCCATGAAACTCGAGCCACTGTTGACTACACGATGAATTTCTAAATGTAAAATTCAGTAAATCGATAAATATTCGCGAATCAGTGATTGTTATTTGTAGTACATTTTGGCATATGAATGTTAGAGACAAAAAATAATTGAAATCAACACGCCAAGTTCTAGAACAGCGGACAAATCGTGTGATCCCAACCTGTGTGGATATATTCTCAATAATTCATGAATTCTTAGAATTTTGGGATAACAATATGTATAATTTACATTACCATTGTTTTATCTGTTCTATATTTAATTCTATATAATGAACACTGAACTGATTTTCGAAAGTTATATAATAAAGCAGCACATGTATACATCGTTTTAATTCGCTTTCGAATGGTGTTAATTCAGATGCAGTCACTCGCGGTAATAAGTTTTGCAGTGGTTTTGCTTGGTGTGTTTCAAAGAGGGACAGCCATTGACGAGAATGGAGTCATTGAAGGCGTTCTAAAAAGGTATTCACTAAATCAATAGAGGGTTTAAGCTAGCACTGTTTTTCACAACCTAAACGCGAACGTAAGCTATTTAAGCGATGCATTTGTATAGGCGATTTGTCATACGCATAGGTTGGTGTTTCGATTTCATGTGCAAGCTTAAACTACCTATTATCTCCATATACCCCCAGCTTGAATCCACGACGCATTTCTTTTTGCAGGGCTATTTGAAAGATGTATAAGATGTATAAATAATCCACAGACCTAAAATACTGCTAAATGAAATGCCATAACAAAAGTTAAATGGGGTTAGGGTAATTGACAATTTTGCCATATGAATCTAGCTCTACCTTTTGCTCAGTTGCGGCCATTTGGAGCATGTAATGTTAATGATGACAGTTCCTGAACCAATTGACTGGTCATATTGAACAAATTCCATAGAACTGTTTCTTCTTTTTTCCGGTGTAAAATGGTAGGAGGTCTTATCAAATTATGGTCCTACTGTTCATTGATTTATATGGTGATCCCTTTCCCTTATTATCTTACACAATCAGGGCCAGAAAGGGCCGTTAAGAAAGGAGACCATAATCCCTGGGGGACCATAATTTCTTTCACACCGGTCATCCTGTATACATGTGATGATCAAGAAGGTATTATTATTGCTACACTGGATTACAACGGGACTATTGGATCAATTACTAAAGAGTATGTGCTAGTATAAAGAGTGATGGAAAAATTCTGGTCCAGAACTTCAAAAATACAAAGTCCATGGTTTCAAATAATGTTTTTTTTTCACAAATCATTTAATTTTAAGCCAAGGATTAAGAAACGGTTGTCTTTTGATTAGTTCTTTAATTTTTATTTGATTGACGCTTGCAAGATACGAGATGATAAGAACATTGAATTATGAAGGCATCAAGATAAACGCTACTGAAATCAAATTGACTAATTACCCAGACGGTATAACAATTTCAATTAAAAATACAAAATCCATCCCTAGAAAACATACGGACACATTATTTCATACATCTATTAAATATGGATAAAGCTTAAACAAACCCTATTTGGCTTTGTTGAAATAAGAATAATACTGTTCGTTCACCAGAATTTGACTGACAAACTGGTAAATCAGCAAAACTAAAAATATTAGGAGTATGTTTTTCAAATTATAAATCAGCACATCTATTAGATGCAAATTGGCGGGTCAAAATAGATAAGATGAAATGCATTATGAAATGTTTAAACAGAAGAAACTTATCTCTGGCTGGTAAAGTACTTTTGTAAAAAAGCTTACTGCATTACGAATTTCACATAATGCTAAGAGGAGGGAAAACCCCATGATTCAATTGATGACATACGATTTCCTCCTTCGCGCACCTCCTTTCCCGGAAGTACACACCCTCCATCTTGGTTTTCAAATTCACCTAGTTTTAAACCAATCAACGATCGACTCGCTTAACCAATCGGCGACGATGTTATCTCAATAAAGATTTACATTATAAGCGTATGTCATCTTTGAACCCTGGGGTTTCTCCCCCTCTTCATAATGCTTATGGCATTCACATTTTTATTATAATAAATATGCGATTTTTCTATTACTTTTTTTTAACTCAAAATTGGTTGGTATTGTTGCCAATGTCATGCAATTACCTTTTTTGGGGTTTTTTATTGGTTTTTCAGAAAAAGTAGTACAAAAATTGTTCTACATACCATTGTTCTTGTAAATGGACATTTAAAACCATATGAGGTAATTTCTTAATTAATAGGAAAAAACGCTAAAACTTTAATGCAATATAACAGTTTAAGAGCTTGACGTTTAGTAGATGTTCGAATCAGCTATTTAAATGCACATCAGACACCGGTCTTTTAAGTAACCATTGGAAAAGTTTCCATTGTACAAGGGCCGATCAAAAAGTTTCTTACCGTTGGCTCTAGATTTTATAATAAGAGGAGTTGGATGCTCAAATTTTTACAACTGCATGTACATATCCACATGGTGGTTTATTAATATAGCACAATCTGATTTATGTAAATTAAAAAAAAGCAAAAAAAAACATAGAACAACACTTTACATTGTAATACAATCAAAAATATTTGGAAAGGTGTGGCTTTGAATCTAATGAGAAAATAGCGATAGGAATATTATATCAAATGTTATTATATAAGTCACTTGTAAAAAAGAAAACTAAAATTAAGTTTTCAAAGAAACATGAAAATTCAGTAGCATGGAAAAATCTATTTAAAGGTATTCATGAAGTAGTTTTTGGGAAAATCGTTCGTGAAGAGAAAGCGATTCGCAAATATTTGTGGATTAATTTTACCTTTCAAAATTCATAAAAATAGTCAATACTGGCTCGATTTTCATGAAATAAACATGTTGGAAGGGAATTCAGAAAACCAGAACTTCTTTAGTCCACAGAATATTTTAGATGTATATTGTTTTAGATATTGTATTACAGGATACTTGAAGACTTGTTGGATAGCAGAATCCAAGTAAAAGAGTTAGATGCTAGCAGTATAAAGGATCCTGCACCCACAGCGCTCACCGAATGCATTGGAGATACTTCGTTAATTGGTTTAGGAAGGTAAAACCATTTCGTCCCTTCACTTAATACCTCAATGTTCTCTCATATATGCCTCTAAGTCACATTTGCTCCAATTCATCGGCCGACGACTGGACGATTGTAGTATTTTGTTCAAAACGGATTTTAACCAGCTCCAAACTTTAAAAAAAAAATCATGTACAAGCTCTCAGGAGTTTTCATCTGACAGCAAATTTGAGACTTGACCTTCAATATTTAAAAATAGCCAGTAATCAGTTATTACTATTCACTAGCGAAAGTTGATGAAATTCTTTCATTTTCATCATTTTGAATGAATCCATCTTTCTTTTAAAATTTGTACAATAAATCACTAAAATTGCACTTCTATTTAGGTACCATAACAAGACATATTTTGGTTTGTAAAATTTATCATTATTTTGGATAAACAGGAATAAAACATGAACATTTTTCTTAGAAAATTTTAGCAAAAATAGCTGAGGCTTTTGATCGAAAACATGGAAGAAAATGTCGGACATTTTATTTTGTAGCTGCAGCTTTAGATGAGCATAGATCGTGGAACAAAAAAGCTGAAGAGAAAGGATCGGTACACATGCAAATGACATCGGGCCCCGTTCGAGAAGTCATTACGGGCAAAAAGGAGCACGACCCTCGTACGGGCTCGGACGGAGCTCATTTTGAAACACGTACAAGCTCGTACGATGCTCATCATTGTTCTTTTCGAGGCCCGTACGAACATGTATGAGGCTCGTAATTTCGAGCCCCGTACAAGCCCGTACGCAATGCTCATAATTGTTCTTTTCGAGGCCCGTACATGTACGAGGCTTGTAATTTCGAGGCCCGTACGAGCTCTTACGAGGCCCGTTATTGGATTCTTTTACAGCAAAAAAACTTATTTAATGACATGATACATCATTCACGTGTTTATCTATTCTATGTGTGTTTAATCATATTAAGCATTTTTCATTCTACACACCATTTTAACCCATTATCGCACGCATGTTTTTGTATCAATTCACTTCACTTGTAGAGAAATATGGTGTCTCCCATTGGTAGTCCTGTTCCCTAGCTTTTATACTGTTTATCATGATGATTCAGACAAGCGCGAATATTTCGAAATCATCGAAGACATATTAACTTAAAATTAAACATAATTGAAATGCAATTTTTATAGTATATAATCTCGTATAAAAAATATATCTCGTATCAAAATAAACAAGTAATTACAAGCCTTGTTACGGGCATCGCACAGGCAAGTACAAGGCTCGAAAATTACAAGCTAAATGCGGGTCTCTTAACAGGCACAGTACGAGCAAGAACGGGGATCGAAAATTACGATTAATAACGGGGCTCGTTACGAGCACCGTACGGTCAAGTACAGGGGTCGAAAATACGGGCTATTACGGGTCTTGTAATTGCATCTTACGAGGCTCGAAAATTACAAGCAATTACGAGACTCGTAACGAGGCCCTTACGTGGTTACGTGGTACAGGGCCCGTTTACTCAACGAGCTACGTACCACGATGCCCGTGTCAAGCAGCGTGCCTACTAGGCACGCAGTTTGAAACTCTGACAAACTGCGCGCATATTTCAAAATGTGAGACGGGGAGGACACGACTCCCAAAAGAGCCAAAATACGAAAAATACAAGGTTCGTCTCGTTCTAAAGATAGTATCATTCTGTGAAGATGAACTTAATTTACTCAAAGTACTCAATGTTTTTCCCGATGTAAACCTAGTTATCTCAATATAAGGGTCTTAAGTAACTTCTGTGTTCAAAATTTACAGTGTAAAGTTATATCAATGTCTTTTTATCGTCATTTGCCGTTTATTCAGCCATTGTGTCTGTGTATGCTAGAATATATAGGATCCCTCCATCTGATTAAATCAGCAAAGTTTGTGTTCAAAACGATAATACACCATAAACGTGATTTAAACATTTTTCTTGTCAAACTGCGCGCCTATATTCACATGTATTTCCCAAACTGCGTGCCTAATATTTCCAAACTGCTTGCCTATCCAAGCTTGTTTTGTATTATTAGAAAACATAAGCGCCATACAAGGCACATATGTGTCTAAAAGTAGAACCCCATAATTGAAACACTATGAGAGTCCATCCACCAAGATGGTGATCTGAAAATAAAAGTTTTTTTCGTTCCCAACTTAATTGTCACTTCTATTATACATTTTGACTTTCAATATGAAAATCTCATAAAATCTGACGATAAAGCAAAATTTCCAAAGCTACATGAAAAACACCTACACCTCTGCAGAAATTCCAATGATAATATGTAGTTTTAATAGTGTATGCGCACAGTTTGTAATTTCTGGCTAAAATAGGCGCGCAGTTTGTGATTTATTTCTTTTTAATCTCCTGATTATCTGTTTTATCTCGAAATATTTTGAATTATACATGATAAATGTGTAAGGAATTAAATATAAAACGAGTCTAAAGTATTTGTCATTTTTGTTTAAAGTGCTAGATCGATTTACATATATACATTCCCGTTAAATCATTGACGAAAATGCCATTAATCTGCTTATGTTTTAAAACTTAGATTCATTTGCACATAGTTTTTGCTAGTATTTGCAAGATTCGTATATTCGCCACAGAATGAACGCATTGAACAAGAAAACAATGCAGGATAAATGTCTTTAAATTACGTTTCAAAATACAGACTCCAACTTAAATGATGCAATGTTTCTAGGCACGCAGTTTGTGATCGAAACAAACTGCGCGCCTAAGTAGGCGCGCAGCTTGACATGGGCACCGTGCGTACGGACTTGGACGGGGTCCGATGAAATTTGCCTGTGTATCAATATGGCAAACTAAATTCAACATTGTTTTTATTTTAAGTGAAATATTGAAAACATTCTGTAAAAAACATGGTCCTTTATGTTATGGTCACTGATTGACAACAATTTAATACGGAAACTATTTATATATATTTTATATAATTGTTTTTTTGTGAACATTTTTTTTTGTTTTAGTGCAATTGTTTTTTGTCCCTTTCTACTAATTCTTGAGAATGGAATAAAATATCTTTCCAAATCTTGTGTTGGAACAAAATAGCACATACAACATTTTCTTAGACCTCTCAATATTATAGATAGGCCTATACGAAGGAAAGTTTCGTTCATTATACGAAAGGTATTCAAAATTTAAAACAGAAATCCCAAAATATATAAAAATTAAAGTAAACCTCTTATTTCATTAACAAGATACTTTTTTAATGAACCAAACTTTCCTTACAATTTCAATATTGAGTTTTGTCACAATATTACACAAGTCCTTTAAGTCAGTGTAATATAATACACATATGTCCTTTAAATCTTTTTAATTGTTAGTTTATGATTCACAACAACACAGGAATTAAATTATATTACATTTATTTACTAAAGTTTGGCTTGGGGTTCCCTGAAAGAAAGTCATTTGATTATACATTACTAATATACAGTAGTTAAGGCAATCCAACTCACCAAGCTATCTATCTTGATTTCAAATTCATATATGTTCTTTTGATTGATTGATTGAATTTTTTGATTGATTGGATTACTTGATTGAGAGCTTGTGTGATCCCGCGACGTGTCACTTGATATGATGGACGAAGTCTTGGGTACAAGCTAGATTGGAGAATTGAAGCGACCAACTGCATATGTGTACTTGTGGTCGGGGAGTACAAGTATGCAAGTCTACCTCCAATAACACATTGAACGGAAGCCGAAGGCACACGAAAGCTACATCGTTGGCAGCAAACGTAGGCTGCATCGTTGGCAGCCGAAGCCAAAGGCAAACGTGAGCTGCATCGTTGGCAGAGCTGCGCTGTGATCCCTGAATATTGGGAACGCACCAATGCATTGTTGGAACCCATGTACATCTTTGAATAGTGAAATGATGATAATCACAAGATGCACAATCGGCAAACAAACATGTCTTGTACTGATCTAAACCTAAATATCGGCCAATAGGCCTATCTCTTCAGATAAATGGCGTTCAGAAGAATTGGTGAGTGGTGGGGTGGATGGCGGATAACTGTTTATCAAGGTGACTTTGGGATGTTGCTATCGCAAAGCGCACCTTAAAATGAATCAAGCAATGGTTACGTGTTACAATAACATAAGAATTAGCCAACCGGTTCGTTGCACATGATATATGCCTTGAGGGGTGGAGACTGTTGTCAATCATAAACCCGACTCATACTTAAAGTATAAGTCAAACATTAATTACTTGTGTACTCGGTGTTGACCTTAGCCAATTATTGTTCAGTCTATTTCCTCATGCACACTTAGTTATATGACAGACTTGTGCTGGTGTAGATGTGGTTACAGGTGAATTTATGTCTAAGGTAAACATTTATTTATATTTTATAAATTCAAACCTTTTAACTCTTCATTTTAATTTGTGTTTAGTTCACCTGGTTTATTATAATCAAATCTTCTCAACCTGTGTCTTAACTTTCTGTTCAGTTTTGTGATTTCTATTCTTCAGTTGTTCTTAAGTTAGTTTTCTTTTAAATCCAGCGTTCTTGTGCAGTGATAGTGATGGTAGTGAAGCTTAGTTAATCAAAGTGATGATGTGAAGCCTTATACATCGAGAACGTGAATTGACTGTGTTTGTGAGGAGTGGCTTTGAGAAATTAATGAACATCTTAATGGTGCTAAGAACATATAAAGTGAGCAGAGTAGTTTAAAGTCTTGACATTTGTGAACATTATTAGGACGTATGGTGTTAATGCTGAAGTGATAGATTTGTATAGAATACTCAGCATATAGTGAACATTAGTGATATCTCCAAAACAATATTATCAAAGTCTGAGAGACTTCTTCATAGACCCGACGTCTATATTGGTGACTGTGGTATCTTCTATTGCCGTAAACCCTACTCGTCTTCTACGATATATTACATGACAGCTAGCATACTAATATTCAAGACTGTTTCTCATACAGGGTGTCCATAAAGGACTTATCTACAATAAGGACTCTTTCATTTATAGTGAATATCATATTATTTTGTTTATATTTTGTTTGTGTTTGTATTTATAATTTACTTGGTTAAGGTAGTTTGATAAGTAAGTTAGTGCAAATAATTAATATTTAGTTATTTTTGTGAATAAACCCTAGTAAATTTATATGCCAGTGTTGTTCTATCGTGGTATAATTTAGATAAGAACCCGACCCTGTGACACCGGGGGCTCGTCCAATAACCACAATTTAAGAACGCTTAGATATTGTTAGGTATTCATGTAAATATTTTTAAATTAATTAAGTTATATATATAAGATAGTGATAAACATGTAAAAGGGTGTGTGTTATTTAAGTAAATGTAATTCTCAAATATATACCACATATACACCTTGCGGACAAATTGTCCTTTATTATATTCTTAAAGATCAAACTGAGTACACTTTTTCCATGCAGGTAATATCCATACCTTACCTCAAACCATAATCTTTACACAAAAACAAAATGGCAGACAAAGGATTTATTGCTCAAGATCGAGAATCAGCTGAAAGGTCTGACATGGAAAAATGTCTACAGATAGGAAAAGACCTAGGATATACCGAAGAAAAGCTTGAAAAATTTGTGTTTAAAGAATTAGAAAGACTCACCAAAGAACAAGACCGGAAAGAGAGAATAAGCGAAAGAGAACACATAAAGACTATAGAAATTGGTGAACAAAGGCAAAGAGAATTGCAGTTAATAGGCGAACAAAGGCAAAGAGAATTGCAGTTACAGATTAATCTAGAACAAATAAAACATGACAATGCAGAAGAAGGCAGAACAGCTGAAAATACAGAACCGCAGGAATCCTTCCAAGGTCATACACCTAAAATTCCTAAACTGCCTTTTTTTGATGAACAAACAGATAATATTGATTCATATCTACTACGATTTGAACGTTACGCCTCTACTCAAAGATGGAGACAAGAAAACTATGCAATAAACTTAAGCGCACTCCTAAAAGGTAAATCCCTTGGAGTATACACTCGACTGCCTGAAACCGAATGCAATTCATACGAAGCACTGAAGTTGGGACTCTTAAAAAAATACAAAATGACAGAATATGGCTACAAAAAGAAATTTTACTCATCAAGTCCAGAAGATGGAGAAAGCCCTACCGAGTACATGTCCAGAATTGAGAATTACTTCATGAGGTGGATAGAACTAGCTGAAGTAAATAAAGAATTTGATGATATTCTAGACTTAATAGTCAGAGAACAATTCTTAAATTCCTGTGGAAAAGCCACCGCCACATTCATACGAGAACACAAAATAAAATCAAGAAAAGATGTAATCGAAGAAGCAGATAGGTTTTGTAAAGCTCGTGGTATGAACACGTTGACAGAAGATAACAGTGAATACAAGAAATTATTTGACAAGTCCAAGACATATAAAAAAGACCAACCAGAAGAAAATAAAGGCGACATCAACAATGAAAAAAGAGACGAAGGCACAAACAAAAGAACAGAAACTAGCAGTAGAACCTGTTACCTATGTTTTAAAGAAGGTCATATCGCAAAAGATTGCCCTAAGTCCATAGCCAACAAAACAATAGCTAAGCTTGCAGCACTTCTAGTACAGACAGATACAGACAGCAACGAAGACTTGGAAACAAATAGTGAAGATATATCGACAGCATCTTGTCAAATCCTAGATGAAAGTCACAAGTGTGAAATTCAGCCAGGAAATACCCTCACATTATCTTGTGGGTGCAACATTGAAGTTGCAGGATCTTTATGCAACTGTGATAACAATGCTGAAAACTTTTCAAATTTACCTGTTGAAATTGGATTCATAGGGAATAAAAGAGCCAAGGTGTTAAGAGACACTGGATGTAGTGGTGTGATTGTGAAATCAAGCTTTGTAACAGAAAAACAACTGACAGGAAAACAAAGGAAATATATAATGATCGACCGTACAATAAAGACGGCTGAAATTGCAGAAATCTATATAGACACACCATTTACGGGTCGTACAGAAGCAATCTGTATAGACAATCCTATATGTGAATTGATCATAGGAGAAATACCAGGTGTGACGATGGGAAGCAACCTAAAATCAAACACTAAAGCACTTGAGTAGAAATGTGTAAATTTCTTAGCATTTCTACCATTTAGAAGTATTGTATTTACCTTAAGAAATTAAAACATTTCTCAATTTGGGGGGTAATGTCACAATATTACACAAGTCCTTTAAGTCAGTGTAATATAATACACACATGTCCTTTAAATCTTTTTAATTGTTAGTTAATTACTTGTGTACTCGGTGTTGACCTTAGCCAATTATTGTTCAGTCTATTTCCTCATGCACACTTAGTTATATGACAGACTTGTGCTGGTGTAGATGTGGTTACAGGTGAATTTATGTCTAAGGTAAACATTTATTTATATTTTATAAATTCAAACCTTTTAACTCTTCATTTTAATTTGTGTTTAGTTCACCTGGTTTATTATAATCAAATCTTCTCAACCTGTGTCTTAACTTTCTGTTCAGTTTTGTGATTTCTATTCTTCAATTGTTCTTAAGTTAGTTTTCTTTTAAATCCAGCGTTCTTGTGCAGTGATAGTGATGGTAGTGAAGCTTAGTTAATCAAAGTGATGATGTGAAGCCTTATACATCGAGAACGTGAATTGACTGTGTTTGTGAAGAGTGACTTTGAGAAATTAATGAACATCTTAATGGTGCTAAGAACATATAAAGTGAGCAGAGTAGTTTAAAGTCTTGACATTTGTGAACATTATTAGGACGTATGGTGTTAATGCTGAAGTGATAGATTTGTATAGAATACTCAGCATATAGTGAACATTAGTGATATCTCCAAAACAATATTATCAAAGTCTGAGAGACTTCTTCATAGACCCGACGTCTATATTGGTGACTGTGGTATCTTCTATTGCCGTAAACCCTACTCGTCTTCTACGATATATTATATGACAGCTAGCATACTAATATTCAAGACTGTTTCTCATACAGGGTGTCCATAAAGGACTTATCTACAATAAGGACTCTTTCATTTATAGTGAATATCATATTATTTTGTTTATATTTTGTTTGTGTTTGTATTTATAATTTACTTGGTTAAGGTAGTTTGTTAAGTAAGTTAGTGCAAATAATTTATATTTAATTATTTTTGTGAATAAACCCTAGTAAATTTATATGCCAGTGTTGTTCTATCGTGGTATAATTTAAATAAGAACCCGACCCTGTGACAAGTTTTCTTAAACTAAATATAGAATAATTCATAATATATTTCAAATTAGATTGTTACCATTCAAAAGATGATCATTAAAGTGATGATGTGTAATAACATTTTCAGAATTTTGGGATTACTGGTTAAAGAGAAACATGACGTGTTCAATTCAGTTCGCCATATCGATACCAATCCTTTGTTCATCATCTTTACGATACAAAGAAGTAAAACGAATACATGTTGCATTATATTATACTACTGCATCATTACTATCTTCAAGTACCTCAAGAAAGGGCGTATTTAATACCCGCGGGGCTTAAGTTGTGTACCAAACGCGAACTCCAATGCAGTGTCTCGGTATAGACACTGCGGCGGGCCGATGAAGAAATCCCCAAAATCTGGGGAAAATAGTTCCCCTTTTCATCATATATGTGGTCAATTTTCACACAACTTATAAAATATGTATTCATGAATGTTCCCAAAACATTATTTTGTCAAAATATTTCAAAATTATTGAAATATGAGAAGAAATCACCGCGGAAGGAATTCTGAGTAAAAGTTGTGTTGATAATAGTTTACCCCACGTGTTGTTTATTAGTTAATACGCGCAATTCAACCAATGAAATTGTCTAAATTTTACAATTACGCGACCTGAGCATGGGACTAGAACCAATCACGTCAGTTGTTTATCACGAAGTTACCATGCTTACGGTGAGATACCTGCCCGCCGCAGTGATATATTACTGCACGGGAGTTCGTACCAAACGAAACGAGGAACGACAGGACATCCGGGGCTTTGTATGATCTTCATTAGCCAAACTGCTAATTCAAATCGAATGCGGTGAAAAACCGAACACCAATTTACAAACGTTCCGATTATTACGTTCGCCCTTGCCTCAAGTAACCTGCATATACTCATGCAAAACTATGTCATTCCCGTCCATACGTGGTTTTACGGTTGATTTGTTTGTTGCATTTTTTATACGAATTGTATTTTAAGAGAAAGCAAAGTGGTCTGGTGCCTAACTCTAATGCTAAAATAAACGAAATTAAAAAATGATAGCCTTTAACTTTTATTTTATAAGACCGATAGTCACTAATATTTCTTGTTTTAGTTTTGGGCTAATTGAGTCGTGAGTTAGGAATCTGAGCACTTTATAAAATTTAAACTAATATTTTTATTTTAGGACATTTAGGAGGTTTGATGATGATGGCTCAAAATCGATCGAATTTGAAGAATTCTTAAAGGGACTGGTACAATACGGTTGCCAAATAGGTTTTAACCAATCTGGAGCAAAACAACTCTTCGATTCATTGAATAATGGGAAGGAAAAATTGAGCTTTGATGATTTTGTCGAAGGAATCCCGGTAATGTTTTTTTCTTTTTCTCCAAAAGAGAAAATCTTGTGTGTCTGTATATCATATCTATATATCCAAAGAACATGTGTACGTTTCTTTAGATTTTATTATATGAATATACAAAATTTACAAAACGTTTTGGCATGGGGAGACGGCTATCTTTCGATAAAGAGCTTGTGTAATTGTGTACAAAATAAACGACTACGTTATCATAAAATAATGTTACGCAATAAAAGCGCAAATTCCAGATTATGCAAAAACAATTATCAGATCATACTTATTTCCAGTTGAATATACTTTATACAATAATATGGAATAATTTAATTTTACATAATAAAATAGATAGTATATCGCATACAATGGAGTATTTTTAATATTTTTTTTATGTATATTTCAATTAAAATCCATTTCATTTGTCAAATTCCATTTGTCAAATTCATTTGTAAAATTCCATTTTTCTTAGGAACCACTCTCTGATGAAAAGAAAGAGTCTGTGATAAGGACATTCAAGAAGGCTGACTCGAATCATGATGGCGTACTCACCCTAAATGATGATATGATTAGCGAACGGGTTTTTAAAAACATGGACGAAGACAACAACGGAGAAGTAAGCATCTTTGTTTTGATTATTCATACGTTTTAGGTGTTTTTCGCATTTTTTATAACGTAGCATGTTGTGTTCACATTCATAACGTGATGTAATAACGAAATGTTCCGTTCACAGAATGTTTTATTCATTATTTATGGAATTTATGTATTTATTAATTGTTTATTCATTGTATTCATTAAATGGTATATGCACGCAATGTTGTAATCATTATTTTGTTTTCATTGAATACTTTATTCACGGAATATTGTATTCGCGGATTATTGTATTCACAAATTGTAAGTTGTTTTTTTGTTATTCAAGAAATCGTGTTTTCACGATATACTGTATCCATTATATCTTGTATTCACCATATCTTTCATCCTGATGAACTGTATTCACAATATCTTGTATTCCCGATTTGTTGTATTCACGAAATATTGTATTTTCAATTTGATGTATTTACGATATGGTGTACAGTTGATCCAGAAGTAACGTCAAAGGTGTTGGCATTTCAATACTTCTTGACTTATCATCTTGAAAGTGAAATGTTCCCCAAACATTATTGAATTAATATCTGAAAATAAAGCTTCTACTATTTGATTGGTTTATTTTATGGTTACTATGGTAACCCGATATAACCACATCCGGAAATAATCAATTTTTGTAAAGGAAATAAAACTCTTTGTGAATTGATAAACCCAATTAATAATCTTTCAATATATTTTTTATTTGTTTCATATATGTTGCAATTCGAACGTCAATGTATAGCAGTGTCATATTTGATGTCAAACACAGTATTTTAGTTGATAACTTTCTTTTCTGAGAAAGTGTTTAACCAAGCATCTCAATAGCAAATATAAGGCCGGGACGGATGGATAATTTTTAGCGGGATAACAAACCAGCACATAAGGCCATCCTAACAATCAATATAATGGGAATAGTGACAGTTATGCAGTGAAATGTGTATGCAGTAATTGAGCAATCAAATGCTGATGATTTTAATAAAACAAAGTATTTTAAATTAACATTAATATTAAAATGTGTTTTAAATTAACATGAATATTGTTTTTATCTAATTTTTCATTCCATGTTCTACTGAAATAAATAATTTGCCCCGGTTGACGTCACATATGGTTACCATAGTTACCATACAATCAACCAATCGTAGAAGCTTTAAATTTGAGTTATACACTCAAGTATGTTTCACGAAGATTGGTTTAGTAGCATTGCAATGGCAATATCCTTGACGTTCCCGCTGTATATCACCCTGTATATTCTCGATTCACGATGTGCATTAATTTAAGATATCTTGTATTTTCAGGTAAACATTCAGGACTTCGCGAACTATTGCAAAATGATTTATCCGTGGGTCTCTGATGAGCATTTCGACTTTTTCTTAAGGAATATGGTGAAATCCATTTGAAAACTGAAGACCGAGTTCGTAAAAAACTTCCATGAACGAGCTATTGATGCAAATAGATTAGGTTTCGACAATAATATGTTACTCAGTGAGAGAAATCAACACAAGAACATATGGACAGTTTTTTGTTACACAATATAATGATTAAAAGACAACGAGTTTTATGTAAAAGATTGGGTGATATTATGCGCTTTACTACTATAGTGTTTTAGATCTAAGAAAACATCAATACACTATTAAATCTCAAAACTATAAGATAACATATTTTGTCCAAAGATGGATTTTTCATTTTTCAAGAATAATCAAAGGATCAAAACCCAGCAAGCAGTTTTCATTATTGTCTATTTTTACAGTTTGATAAATAATGTTTTTTTTTCATTCTCGTCGAAAGAGATGTCTTGGTACAACAATACATTTCCCCAAAATAAGATAATATAATTCTCGGGAGATATATATATAAAATATATGCCCGTTCTAGGCCCGTAGCCAGAGGGGGAGCTGGGGGAGCCGAAATTCTTTCAAAATCATGCAGTTTTTCACCATTCTGAGAATTTTCCCATGATTTTTAGCCAAAATTGTGAAAAAGCTCCCCCCTGGAAAAAGCTCCCCCCTGGAAAAAGCTCCCCCTCCTGGTAAAAGCTGGCTACGGGCAAGCGCTCCTTGGCTCGCTCGTGCAGATATCATATCCATTCGTGGACAAAAATCATATCACTCATAAATCATAGGATATCCTCTATTTCCAGGTGTTATCTACCCATCACTAGATTTTATGACGCATTATTATATCATTGCTAGAAATTGTGTGATTTGATTGGTCGAGTCAGTACCATGTGATCAAAAATACCATAACGTATTTCACAGCTCCCTCAATTTTAGGATAATAAAAGACGTATTGCCCGGCGTATTGCCCGCCCGGGAATTCTGACAACTACACTGGACGAAAATAAAGTGTACCATTCAATGATACTTATATGTTCACTTATGGATTAATGATATATTAATTGATTAAAATAAATGATCATAGGGAATGTCTAGCAATGATATAATAAAACAAATATTTCATTCTATGTTCGGGCAATACCTGTTGCACTTTCAATGATTTTTGCATCATGTATTTCCCTCGCCCTACGGGCTGCGGGCAATACATACCGCAAAAATCATTGAAAGATGAACAGGTATTGCCCTCCATAGAATTAAATATTTGCTTAGTATACAGATTATGACCATGACAAGCCAAAATTAACATATTTTTATCTTTAACATAATTCATAAATAATCATTTTACCATTGTCTGAATCTTGTAATAATAAAGAAAAATGAATAAACAGCAGAAATAATTGACCCATCCTGTAGATGGTTCTACATTATCATTGATTGACTGGTATGTTGATCAGTTAATTTACCGTCGCAGGGTTCGGGCGACCCCCCTTTCAAAATCATGCAGTTTTTCACCATTTTGAGCATTTCTCAAGTGATTTGGGCCAAAATTGTCAAATGTGCATGTGAACCCCCCCCCTGGACATTTTTGAAAACTGAGGAAAATTTAGGAATGTGTGCCTCAATGATCACATTAATACTGAACTAACTGAAGTTATTTCATTTTGAACCATTTCACTTACACTTCCTCATATTAGATTTCTTTTGATATGATACTTCCAAATTGGCATAATTTTCATATTTAAATTGCTCATATTAATTGGCTACAGAAATCAAATTATTTCTATCATAATTTTCCATTCCGCCAACAAACGATATCACAATTGAAATATCAATTCTCATCGTAATGGAATCCATGTCAACTTCTGAACAATCCGTCCAATCAACCGTACCTCCTTGTCTTATGATGACCGCACGAAATGATAGAGCGAGGGAATCGACGGTGCCAAATGCTACGGAGATTGCATCAATATGTGTAGTGTTTTCAAGTGTTGTTTTATAGATGTCTTCAAATCGAATTGTGGTTTTGATATCTAGAGGTCTCGTTCATTCATTTGTAAATATCGATGTTCCAACAGAAGGTTGAAATGTTACATGTTTGAGATATGCTTAAATATATTCCTCAGAGTACAACAATTACCAATTCCTATACTCTTTCTTTCCCTCTAATTACGGCATTCAAACAGGCGAAACGACAAGCTCTAGCTTCTATTGTTTGCTTGTAGACAGGCTAGCTGAACTCGGCAAATAGCAAGTGAAGAAAATAACCAAGAATCAATAGATCAATAATTAATATGCATATGAATCTCTAATGATATATTAAGTAAGACGAAGCTATCTTTTAAGAAGCTTCTTCAGGGGCTCAGACGATAGATTAAATAGAAAGAGATGTAAGATTTACATGTACAGTGATATTTATTCATGACTTCATTGAAAGATGGCAGTCAAATTAGGGTTTCATTTTCTTTTCGATCACGTGACCAATTCATTGTAGGTGTTTCCGGGGTAGGTGAATTTTTCAATTTTCATTTTATTTCTCAAATTTACCATATTTCTAGTGGATATTACGAAGCAAGAATTTGTAATTCGTTTGGATGTACAGAAGTGTTTATCTTCGAAGCATTGTAGGTTTGTTATTAATGAAATGAACTACGATGAGAACCAAGACGGAAATACCATTTTCGGGACCTTTTTTTAAATATTTTTTCAATTATTTACATTTCTTGTACCTCTCTAGACACCAAGACTACGTAAAGATAGCGGATGTTATAACTGTTATGAGACACACAGGCCAAGGGAAAAGGAAAAGTAAGCTGTAAAGTCGGAGACATTATAAACCTCAACCATCAAAAGTTGTCACAATGAGCTAAATTCTAAGTTTCGTGTCTCAAACTCTCCCAAGCTCCCCTGTTCACTTTAAGTAGCACAATAAATGAATCCAAAGCTTCATACCTGCAAATGATGGATACATTCCTACCAAATACCTTATTTACTCGTGACAGGTCTCAAAATGGCGGAACAGCATTTTGAAAGCTGGCACTTGTCATGTTGCATTCAATCACCTCAACATTTGAAGAGTCAGCATTAACATGTAAATATCTTACTCGAGTCTCTAGCCAATACTTGGCTAGAGGTGATTTCATCTGTAATACTGTGAACTCTATTTGAAAAAAGCTGGCCGTGGTGTCATAAATTTATTGAATATTTTAAAAATCACCAGATAAATAAATCATTAATCAAACCGGACCCAGCTCGGCTCCTTGATGAGATATGACATGACATATGACTAATACACTGATCACTTTATGTGTGTTTTGGAATTTTTGGTGAGGTAATAAGACCAAAACTCGCAATTCAAATTGTGATGTGGAAAAATGGCGGACATATGATTTCAAATTTTATGATTACGACATGACCAGTTGTTCATGCAGGAATATATCTGTACTGGAAGGCCACGATACAGTGGCCTTAGAAGAAGGTAATAAATATCCACTTCAAATTTTTAAGTTCCTATTTGTCATTATGGACACAAATTCCACTATATTTGGACTTACTATTCTTTATGTTCCCCACTGTACAGTATATCTTCTGTATTCAGCTTACCATTACTTTTCCCTTGGACTATGGTTCAGTGTCACTCAGTATCAATCGTCGTGCAATGTCGTCGCTTTGGATAATTGCCAGGATCGAAAAAGTAGAATACACAGAAATGAAAATTCACCCCTACCCTCTCTGTGTTCCAAGGAAACAAGGGGCTTCTTCTTTTGGTCAATTCTTAGTTTCTATTCCCTGGGTCTATTCCTCTGCCCGTTGCCGTTACAGATCCACTAAGTCATATGAGCTTGCGTCACATCATATCAAGGGACCCCATGCTCATATAAAGATAGTTTAGAACAGTTCATTCTTTCAAGTATTATTTGACTCAGATTAAAGGGCGAAAATCTGTTTCTATTTGCGCGCTGTATATGAAAGGTGGTATTCGCTGGTTGGAGGTTCTTTGTTTTATTGTTGAGCAGAGGAATTCATGTTTGTATGATCATTATCAGGGGTTTTATTAGCAGCAGGCAACAGGCGATTTTCACCGTTTTTTTTCTCACAAGATCCCCTGTTGTAGGGACTTTTCAACTTTTCCATGTTAAATTTATGATTTTCATCAATTTTACCTGTTGTTTTCATTTATATAGCCTGTTGTGAGACATTCTAGTGCGACCTCTGATTTAATATTGATACTTCGTTTGCACGCATTCCACCAAAGTAACAAATAATATTGCAAACACTTGATTTACCATTCTTTGTTTTATTTTCAGGTGGATCGATCGAAGAAAATGGTACACTAACAATGATGCAGTGCAAAACATCATTGTTTTTGGATTATATAAATGTTTGAATAAAGCACCAATTAGGATATAGGATCCCAAAAATATCAAAACTTATGACGTGTGGAAATATAAAAGGGCATTTGAATGAAATTTAATCACGTGTGGAAATATAGAAGTACATTTGAATGAAATTTAATCACGTGCGGAAATATAGAAGTACATTTGAAAGATAATCAATCACATGTGGAAATATGTAAGTACTGTTATGTACATTTGAACAAAGTACTATGTGGAGATACAAACACATATAAGTATATCACTAGAGGCATTCTAAAATCTGCAATTGATGGATACTAGCTAACAGGGAGGATTGATTTTAAAAATGACAAGTAAGTTTTTATATGTTTTGAGATTTTGAAGTCCAGGAGTACTGTACTTCTACTTAATTTGGCGCTACTAATTTTGGCAGATTTGCTGTTTTGAACATTTGCTGGCTACTTAATTTGGCGGAGTTGCAATGTTACTATGTAACTCTCGATGTACATTACATGTTCAAGAGACCAATAAACTTATTAATAAAAAAAAAAAAAAAAATTAATGGTATTCATTTACACGGTACTAAAATTACCAGGGAATTTGGCAGCTACTTAATTTGTCTGACTTGAACAATTTGGTGGATCCGCCAAATTGAAACAGCCACCAAATTAAGTGGAAGTACAGTATTTTATATCGGGGCTCAAAGTATATCCAAACCTGCAACATGCATTTCTCAAACCTTGTCTGAATGTCACATTTGCCCATATCCATCTGGCACCCTCCATCTCATGGGGGGGGGGTAATTTTTTATAATTTGTGAATAATTTGCCTGTTATTCATGAATGTGACTAACTTTGTGTTTCCTCAAAATTAGTTAAGAGGTCAATATTGATGTATGAACTTATGGTTCTGTACTTGAGCTCTGATCGATACTCTTAGATTTCCTCATATTGATCCAAGGAGCGACTAATTGCTGAGATTCCAGCAGTATTCTCTTCCAAATTACTGGTTTCCCAGGGGCCCATTTCATGAAAATGACTATATAACTCAATTGTGGACCATGATCACTCAAATCTATGAGAAACGTACCCCAGCTAAGTGACAGACAAGTCTAGGTTCAAGCCCTTGCGAGTCCTACCCCCCCCCTTCTACACACACCTCCAAACCAAACCAATGTGACATATTTCTAATAAGGTGGAGGGGTCCACATTCTTAAAGCAATGACTAAATATAATATTTTGTTTTAAAATAATTTTCTCATTTTGTTCAAAAATTAAATTTTTTCAATATTTATTTTTTGGACCCTTTCCTGAGTTACATCTCATTACAAAGGACTGGTGGAGAGAAGGTCCATGGAAAATCAGGTTTTCAGTACTTTCATCATGTGATCCCAGTACCCATGGCGATTATATTTATTGTTTTCAGCCTCAAGTCCATTTGAGACATCTAATCTGTCAAGCTCTCCCTGGTCACTCACATGACTGAAACTGACCAATCATGTACATGGATTTGCACTCATCTGACATCCTTGACAGTCACATGACTGAAACTGACCAATCATGTACATGAATTTGCACTTATCTGACATCCTGGACAGTTAAATGACTGAAACTGACCAATCAGGAACATTTGCACTTATCTTACATCCTGGACAGTCACATGACTGAGGCTGACCAATCAGGTACATGGATTTGCACTAACTGTTTTTTTTTCATTGTAGGTCCAAATGATAGGGAGCTGCTGATTCGAGCAGATAAAGAACGGAGAGACATAGTCAAGAAATATGCCAAGGTAAGTCACAATGATTGCTCAAGGTCAGATTTCTACCCATGACATCACAATTTTCTCCCCAGGATTTCTTCTCAAGTGGGAGCATTTAATTCTGTATTTCATAGTTTAGACCAAATTTGGTCAAAATATGCCTATTTTCATGATTTTTCTCATTTTCAAGTGGGTGCAAATGGATTCTCAAGTTGGCTGTAGGTGCAAGCCTATTTTGAAATCTCAAGTGGGTGCAGCGCCTACTTGCCTAATTCTGGGGAGATCACCGCATCATCAATCCAGCTCATAGCTTCCTTGATATATCAGACAGGGTTTACTTGAATAATCTGTTGTCTAGAGTTCTTGACTTCATAATTGTCATCGATAGAAAGCTACATACTAAATTCTAAATTTATGTTTTTCCATGTACATGTTTTACAATAGCAGGCAGATTATGGAAATTTCAGAATGGCAGATTCCTACAAGCAGAGAAACAAACAGAACATGTGTTAGAAAGTTTTAAATACATTTATTGCTAGCAACACATCAGCAGATTCACCCAGACCTTACAACTTCTAATATTTGTATATTACATGCATCTAGTACAAAACATTTATTGATCAATGCTATAGTAAAGCAGATTTTACAATTGGTTGGTCAAGGATCAAGTCTTAATTTAGATTTTCTAATTTTACAAAATTTGGTCATCAGTTTCACTTACCAGTTTGTAATATAATATTGACTTATTGGACTATAGTTTTTTGTAAGGGCAGATTCACCCTTATCCCTAGATTATCAAGTAAACATTAAGCTTTCATTCCTTCAGTTGTTTGCCTACCTTGCTTCTTGAACTCATATGCTCTAGATTTTCCAAGGGCTGTGTAAGTTTAGCATGCATTCAGGGTAGTAGTTAGGGGTGTAGCCAGCTTTCAGTCAGGGCATGATGGGGGGGGGGTGCGATCGTTGGTTTTCATTCGGGGGGGGGTTGAGATTGTGGGATAAGCGCAAGGCAAAACAATTTCTTAAGATTTGTTTTGAATTTTGCAAAAATTGATGCAACTTCCTTCAAATTTAGCCAAAGGCTTCAAATAAAAAGCATCTTAAAGCTCTTTTCTTCTTCTATTGGCTTTATTTTATAATTTTTATTGGTAATAGGGAGGGGGCTATGCATATGGTGGTGAATCACTACCCACTTCTGTCAAATGATTACTGAAGTATTGGCTAAGTAGTGAAAATCACTACCTGGCCTTATCTAAAATTGACAACAACATACCTCTCTTCTAATTCTATGTTTATTCATAGGAACTGCGGATTTTTATTTCAAAAATTATATGTATCGTAGTGCCTGCTCGGTAATGTTAGAAGGCTTGAGATTTTTACTATAAATTACTTTAATTTTGTGCATAGATCTATCTACTTGGTTTTCTCGGAGTTGAATTGTTAGAAATAGCTCGCCCTTGGTCAGATATGTTCAAAATACAAGACAACCTGCCAATTTTAGAATGTTAGTTGCACATATTTATAATTACGAGGTGTTCACATTGCACAGTTATATTTCATGGTGTTTACCATATCCATATCAAGGTGTTTACCATAGCAAGATGTTTGCATTTCAAGGCATTCACATTTTATAAAGGTGTTTACAAAACTGGGTTCACACTTCAGTGTTTTGAAACTTCAAGGCATTCACATTTTATAAAAAGGTGTTTACAAAGCAGGGTTCACACTTCAAGGTTTTGAAACATCAAGGTGTTCACATGATTGAAGTATTCACATGTGCATCTTATTTGAAAATATATCTAGGTTATTGTGTTAAAAACAGTTAATACATGACTTGTAAATACAAGTCTTTCAATACAAAGATACAATATGGAACTCTATAGCTGGGAATGAAGACTTCATATTCAAAGCTAGTACTATTTTAATATTGCTTTTTGTGAGTATGCAATTATATTTAAATGCTTCTCGCTTTGTATTAGTTCGTAGTCGTTCAATGTCTTTATTGATTTTTTTCATCATTCCCTTTGCTCGCAGTATCTGACAAACCTTCATTTGTCCACAATTATACAGATATGACGCTAGTTTATCGAAGTGGGAAATTGACTGAGATATTTTGTCAAATTCTGCACCTCTTTTTCTCGGAGCATCCCTAATGCCTCGCCTTTTTCCTGAAATACCAATTAGACTCTTGAGATTAGTTCTATGACAAGAAACATAATTCCAAGTCAGAACTCTTGTCTCTCTTGAGTTCATAGAGAAATGTAGTCTTGCTTCAAAACTCTGGACTCCCCCCAATCTACTTCAGCTTGGTGGTGGGTAATTTGGGGAGGGGGGGTCATAAGGGCTTATTGATAGGCATATCATGTTCTATTTTCTTTTTGTATGAAGTCCTTCGTGATGCCTATCTGAGCCATCTTATATTTCTTTCATCAACATTTTTCAATTCTCAACATATTCCCAAGCAGGCAACATTATGCACGTGTTACATACTTGTATATATGGCTAAATATAAAACATCCTAAATTCTATTCAATAATTTTTGAAGGTAGACTTTAAACTCAGAGTAAATCAATATACGTTTTCTCAATCCTGTTCTAAATTAAATTAACATATCTTAAATCGTTTGCTACAAGTCACAGTGCTCTCCTACATCACTTCTGTTGAGTATTTAATAAAGACTATCTACATGAATGTAGTTCCGTAGTGCAGTGATCTCCCCAGCATTAAAGCAAGGGGTGCAGCACCCACATGAGATTTTGGAAATAGGCTTGCACCCACCTGATAATCCATTTGCACCCACTTGAAAATGAGAAAAATCATGAAAAATTGGCAAATTTTGACCAATTTTTATCTGAATTGTGGAAATGGGAATTTTGCACCCCCCTGAGAAAAAATCCTGGGGGGGATCACTGTAGTGGCTGCATATTCAGATTAAAGGAGACCATTTTGATATTGAATCAGTAGATGGCATATGAATTTAAACCTTGATATTCTGTAAATAACAGCTAAAAAGTGTTGTTGAGGACTGTTTTGCATGAATCTTAGTGAATAAAACGAATTCTACTTGGATTTGCCAAAAGTGTTTGGATTACCAGGTGTTCACATTTCAAGGTTTCTTTTATATGCGAGTCATTAGTCAATGGGAGACCATAACTTTTGTAGTGAGAAAAGGTGTTCACATTGAGAGGTGTTCGGATAAGAGAAGTGTTCAGATACCTATTCTTCTACATGTTTATATACACATAATTGTTCACTGGAACTGTTTCATATGATTTTTTATTCTCATCTCAACTGGGTACTGCACCTGGTTTCTTCTAAAGTCAAGGTATTTTCATAGTTGGAAATTAACATCAAGAACTTCTTCCTTTAGTTTGTTTACTAACCTTGGATATGTACCCTCTATAAAAATCACACTTGTGTCATACTCTTACTATCACAGATCGGTTTTTGAGCTTTTTGAGACAATAATTGATTCGTCATTAATTTCATCCAGGAAATTCTTCATTTCTTTAAACATGATGTAGTGTGGCTCTGTAGTGATCCTTGATTGGTTGGTTAAACACCAAATCATTTATAAATAATCTCAGTCAGAGTGGAGTGTTAAGCATAAATTAAATCAGGGTAGAATTTATAAAATTCAAGGCACTATGATTGCCTTTCATACCCTTGCATTTCATGTTCATCAAAATCAAATTAATTTTTGATGAAAATATCCGAAGAAGAGCGAATGGTGTTTTCACTTATAATTATTTTCCAGTCTATGTGTATATTATATGTTAATAAGTGGTAAAACAAATTAACATAAAATAACCTTAAAATGAAAAATAAGGGCCCTGAGTTATTTGATGAATTGGAATTCACCACATGGGATCATATGCCTTGCACATACCAATAAAGCAGTGATAAATGCCCATAATGGACTCTCATATGAGCTAGGGAATACCAGTGAACATGTCATGGTTGGTCATGTTTTAGAATACAAAATAGAGGGAAATGGAGTGGAATAAGCAAGGAATAAAGTAAATAGGCATGTAGTGATCACTTTAAATTGTATTGAAATACCATGAAATTGAATATTTGGTCAAGGGTGAATGTATGAAAAGTGTGGAATATAGTCAAATGGCCATGAAATTCTTGCTGGCTCAATGCCTAATGTAATCTGATGTTACCATTTATCATAATTGGGTTATGACTAAGAAAATGCAATCTAATTTTCCCAGTTGTAGGCTTTATGTATAATCCAATATATTTTGGCCAAGGAAATGGATAGCATGGCAATGGTGACCATGATTTAAATCAAATTCCCTCTCAATCTAATAAGGTCATTAAAGGCTCATTTTGGCTCCTATTTTGAACCACTGAGTCTCCTTTTCTGCCAGTGATGACCTCTGTGTATTTGGGGTATACACTGTAAAGGACTTCAATTCAATTCAGCACAAAGTGCAGATTGCTATATTAGACAAAATATATTTTGAAATGACATGATTTTAGTGAAAAAACATTTAGTGTTCCAAAGTCTCTACGTATCAAGCAAGCTAAAATACAAGTACATTTAAGTACACTTAAAAAACAGTATAGTGAAAAAACAGTGCCTAATGTACTCCCTGCGCAGTACAATCTATTAGAAAGAGGGTATCCACAAATATCAAACAGCCTAGAAAATAAAGGTCAATATAACTAGTACTACATTGTAAGTGAAGCATTTGTTAAGCTAAATACAACACATCTGAACAGACTCCTGTGTGTATCATATTTCAAAACAGTATAATGAATGTAGCCCAGATAGCTGCCAACAGTGTTAGCATGTGCACCTAACATTCCTTCATATAATAAGGTAGAATGAATTATGCTTATGCAAATATATATTGCATCATTTACTAACATCATGGTAGTAGAATTGAGAAAGGCAGAATAGAGTTGTAACCTGAGGTCATAATTGTTCATATTCTTGCCTAAGAAAGTTTATTGTTATAGTCATATGTATTATCTTACCCATTTTACATCCTAGTAAGATGAGGCGGAAAAAACTTAAGCCATTTTGTTTCATTGTGTAAAATTGTTACAGTATTTATGTCACCACCACAAGTGGTGACATGTTGTTGTCTCCAATGTTTTGTGGATGGTTTTCCAATTTCAGAGTTCAGATGATGGCATTCAAGTTCAATGTCTGTAACAAATTGCAGGTGATGACATTTTGCATGTTAATGCCGATTATATTGTTGAATTACAGTTCAGTAAAAAGCCATGTTGTTGTTGAATGAATTGATATCTTGTGAGAGTTTAAACTTTGCTGAAATCAAACATGGAGCAAGGATCCAATTAATAACAGGAAAATGTCAGTAACCCCATTTTTCACAATGTGGTATCCTCATTGGACTATATATTTATGGATTTTTGAATTTATAACCCAATGCATGTAAAATGCATAACTTGTATCTTAAGTTCTTAAGAGCACAAGAAAATCAATGTTGACAATAGAGGTTATTTATGCATAATGTCTTACAGTTTAACTCAACTAAATTATTTACATGGAGACATTTCAAACTTATAAAATTTTGCATTTTTCCTCATTTTTGGAACAGTGTTTAAAATGTCTTATGTTTGTAGACTAATAATCATTAACTGGGTTCTCCCCAGAATCTAATTGCATGGAGCTCCCCCCTGCTTACTCAATTCCCCCCCCCCCTCTGTTCCCCCTCCTTGCTTACCCCCCCCCCCCCTGTTCCCCCTGCTTGCTTCACCCGCCCAGGGTCCTCACTATAATCATAAATGGGCCAAGGGAAAAAGTCTTCGATTTTGAGGCAGCATGAGGGAGGTGGTTAGACATGCACCCCAGAAGATGCAGGGACATGAGGCTTTAAAGAAACTGAACAATGAACATAAGAACCATATTATCATGTAGTACTATTAAATAAAAGGTTTTCTAAATGAGATTTGGTGTTTATTTACATTTGCAAGTGAAGAAATAATATCCCTGTGGAAGCTGCTGAAGTACATTTGACAAAGAGTGATGCGAGCAGCAAAAATTTACCCCAAAATTATGCGAGCGAAAAAATCCTAGGGAGATCACTGATTAATCTTAATTAGAAAAAATTTGGAAATAGTAAAAAATAGTACTTGTCAGTTCATAGTCAAAATGTGTTATGATAATGGTTTAAGCGTCTATTTGGTCTATTTTTTCAGGGCAGAGAGGAGGGAGCGGAGATTGACCCATGGGAAGATCCAAAGTTTGAAATCTACCAAGTAACAGACCGTTATGGTTTTATACATGACAATGCACTGCCAGCCAAACAGGATGAAGATGAGCAAAAGGTAAAAGAACAACAAGATGTACATAAAACAACAATAACAATTACAACAAAAATAACCCCAAAACATTAAGAACAACATAACTACTAATGAAACTAAAAACAGCAATAATGTATCAAGTTAACAACAAATGTAACTTTAAGCAAACTTTAAACAATAACAACAAAGATGAATAAAAATAACAATAATGAAACAACTAGGATTGAAAGAAACCATTAATATCACAACAGCAAAATAACTGCTTACTTTGTTGACCTTGTGTGTCATTTATGTTATCAGCATCAATACTTCAAATATGTTTTAAACCAAATCATGGAAGATACAATTTAGAGTAATCACATTTTTCTATTTTGTAGGCCAAATTGTTAGAGATGGACCGATCTGTAAAATGGTTAAAGATGAGGCAAAAATGGAAAAAGTATTTTCCTGGAGAAAAGGTACATATTTTGAGACTTATCTGATCATTTTTTTACAAAATATTTGTTAGAAAGTAAATAAAAGAGATATATTTTATTCAATCGAGGTGAATATATTTGCATATTTCAAAAACTTATTTGATCATTTCTACCCTAAACAATAGTTACAAAGTAAATAATATTTGAGAGTATAAAATATATTTTCTTGCCCTATTATAGTAAGAAAATGAATAAAAATGAATAATATTTTAGAGTATGGACTATATTCTTCCCCAAATAAAGAAAGTAAATAATATATGAGAGTATGAAATATATTTTCTTCCCCAAATAAAGAAAGTCGTGATATATATTTTCTAGGGAAGAAGAAGAGTCTACAAGGGAATCCCAGATCGTGTGCGGGGAGATGTCTGGTTGAGACTTTTAGATATTGATAGAATGAAACAAGAACAGAGGGGGATATATCAGGTAAGTACTAGTACAATATAATATTTTCATAATACAAGGGGTGACCAATAAGTCATGGACTCTTTTTTACACACTTTTTTATGTCAGACATGAAGATTTGATGACATAATATTTACATTTTGATATATCTTTATTTCTGTGAAGGAGGTTTAGATACCCCAGGATTGACAATAACTTTGCACATTTTGAAGCTTTTCTAGCTTGCTCTAAATGCAATGCACTTAAATAAAGCCAATCATGGTGGTCATTTTGATATTGGTGTTGAAATCTACTTCCTTTCAATGCACTCTTCAAGTATCAATGAAACTCCTCTATATAGTCAATACCTGCTTGAAACTGTTCTTCACTTGTAGACAGCTTGTCGAAAAAGGGTTTTGCTTCTAAGAACTCTTTCTATGTCTCATTGCTCAGTTGCTCCAGTTGCAACAAGAAATTAAAAAAACAGTTCGCTTCTTCACTTTAATGCTTTAGGAGGATGACATTTTGTCTTACTCATGGATCAGTGACACATTTTTGAGTTGTCTTTGATGTGTTAAGGCAATATATCAATTTTGACAATATGACAATTTTGGCCCAAATATGGCTAAAATCACTTGTGCTCAAAAAAGTGCTCAAAATGGTGAAAAACTGCATGATTTTGAAAGAATTTTGGGCCAGGGGTTTCGCCCGAACTCTAGGAACCCCCTCTGGCTACAGGCTTGACAAGTGATATTTCAGAAATTTCAACTGAAATATGCAAAATTAGCTAAAGCAGGTACAAAATATGTGATGTAGTTGGCAGTCCTGGGGTACTGATACCTCCTTCACTGAAATAAAGATATATCAAAATGTGTTACATATTTCATCTTCAAATCTTTAGGTCTGATAGATATTTGAATGATCCATCAATGTGGGAAAAAGAGTTTGGTTAATAAAAAGCATATGTGTGAAAAAGCATCTATTACTTATTGATCACCCCTTGTAGGAATACAATAGACTGACATTATAAATCTATGCATTGTAAATAGAATATATGCAATTCAATTTCAAAATCATTTTATTTCATTTTTCATAACAAAATTACAACATTATATGGGCATTGGCACCCCAGGGGAATTGACCATTATGATATACATTTACATTGTATTTAAGTACAATTCCTTTACAGTTCCTATGAGTACAATATGTTTATGGTATGAGTACAATTCATTGACAGTATGAGTACAATACATTTATGGCATGAGTACAATTCACGTACAGTAAAAGTACAATATGTATTTATGGCATGAGTACAATTTATTTACAGTATGAGTACAATATGCTTCAATGTTGGTTTGTTATTTATTTTTTTCATAGAAAATGAAAGAGAGAGCCATGAGATATTCACCTGATATTCGTCAGATTGATCTGGATGTTAATCGCACATACAGAGACCACATCATGTTTCGACAGCGTTATGATGTCAAGTAAGTGTTACAAACATTTAGTACCCCACACAAATTAACATTACCCCTAAGATTTGAAGGCTTTACTTTGCAGTATGCACTGTGAAAATTGCTATAGTTAAACTAAAGATAGAAATAATTGAGACCACAAAAACTGATCCACTTTATACACATACTTTTGGGCAACTTTGACTTGCCTTTTCGGTAAATACTGACAAATCATGAGTAATAAATATAGATTTTTGAAATTGCATTTTCAAATGGCTTGGCAAAATAGATTCATCATTATATATTTGTACATTTATATTTCAGACAACAAGCCTTGTTTCACGTCCTATCTGCCTACTCGATGTACAACACAGAAGTGGGTTACTGCCAGGGAATGAGTCAAATAGCTGCATTGTTACTGATGTACATGAATGAGGAAGATGCATTCTGGGCACTTTCAACTCTACTGACAGATAGCAGACACGCCATGCATGGTAGATCAATTTACTTCATTTTTGTATGAGCTTGAGAATTGATGTCAATTTCTGAGTTTTCTTCGGAGTACCATAAGCTAAGAGCTCATGCTTCAGGAAACATTCACATTTTGAATGAAAATGAGAATGTATATTTCAAATGAAAACTTGCTACTTAAAAGATTATTGGCATTATTTTGCTAAATTTTTTGTAAATGTACTTATTGACATCTGTCAATAACTTATCCTTTTAAATTTAAATTTTGAAATCGCATTGTGCTCTCATTAGAGAGAATACAGTATTTCAATTGAAAACATGTACATGTATATTCAAATGAGAATTCATATTTCAAATGAAAACATGTATATTTCAAATGAAAACAGGCATATTCTAATAAAAACCTGTATATTTCAATAGAAAACAAGTATAATTCGAATGAAACGTGTATACTTCAATAGAAAACATGTATAATTCAAATGAAAACATGTATATTTCAATAGAAAACATGTACATTTCAAATGAAAATATGTATTCATGTATTTCAATTGAAAACATTCAAATGAAAACATGTATATTTCAATTAAAACATGCATATTTCAGGTGTGTTTATTCCTGGGTTCCCCAAGTTGATGAGATTCCAAGACCATCACGACCGCATAATCAAAAAATTCTTGCCAAAAGTAAAGAAACATTTGGTAAGTGTAAATATTTTAAGGGACAAATAAAAGCTTTGTACTCATAAAACTGTACTCCTGGTAATTTTCGGGTGCTAGTATATTTCGCGCTTTACGCGAATTTTGAAAAATTTACGAAATATAATAGCCGCGAAATTCCTAAAGTTCTAATTTGCGAAATTTAAGTGGGAGTACAGTAAACGTGTAATATTGTACTTGTTTTATAACTGCACTCATTATGGAATTGTACTTGTTATTCTTGAATTGTACCTGTATTTTGTTACTATTTATTGTAGGATCGTCATGAGATCCACGCCAGTCTTTATACAATAAAGTGGTTCATGCAGTGCTTCCTAGATAGAGTAAGATTTCACTATTATTTTTAATTATTTTTCTGTTGTTGTGCTGCATTTAGAAAAAATGGAATATAGTACTGAATATTTTTTTATGAACTATATTATATTATATCCACAAATGATCTTCCAACAAATAGACTAAAAATGGCAACAAAGAATTTAGATGCTAAAAGGGGAGTACATAGGCTTAAAGGATTTGCAGATAGGTTAAAAGTGGCAATACATGGGCTAAAATGGGCAACAAAAAGACCAAAAGGGGTGACATTAAGGCTTAAATGGGCAACACCTAGGCTAAAATGGGCAACAAATAGACCCAAAAAAGGTGACAAATAGGCTAAAAGGGGCAACACCTGTGCTAAAATGGGCAGCAAATAGACCAAGAGTGACAAATAGGCTAAAAGGGGCAACACCTGGGCTAAAATGGGCAGCAAATAGACCAAAAAGGGTGACAAATAGGCTAAAAGGGGCAACACCTGGTCATCAATGCTTATGTCGACTCGGAATATGTCAGTTTTATATTTTTAATGTACCTGTTTTATTTTTAAGATGCCATTCCATTTGACTCTGAGGATCTGGGATATATACATGCTGGAGGGAGAGAGAGTGCTGTGTACTATGGGATACCTCTTACTCAAAATGCACAAAAGTAAAAAAACAGTGTTTGAACAAGAATTTGTCAACTTAAAATAAGAGCTTTTATCAAAGACAATACTGTGAATAAATTGAAAAAAATAGAAAAATTTGAAATATTGAGAGTAGTAAGATTCAATTTGAAACTTTTAATGCATGTTAGTAGCAATATGTTTCAAAATATTTTTTAGCAAATATGTTTTGTGCCAAAGTCTCTTGATGATTTAAGTTTCAGATTGTAATAAACTTGAATATTTTATAGATTGCTATTTTAGGTGAACTGTTGTAGGAATCAATTCATATGCATTTTCTTATTTCAGGGAAAATTGTCAAAATGGATATGGAGGAACTATTCGGATTCTTACAAAACGGCCTCGAAAAAGATTTTGGTTACGAAGATGATGTTGTCGTTGACCAACTACAAGTTGCAATGGACGAACTGCGGAAAGCAAAAATGGATGTTCCTCCGCCAGGAAAAGCAAACGAATTACCACAAAAACCATTTGGATTATTTGTAGAACCAAACATTGATAAAATCATCGGGCGAAGGACAATGGAATTTACCGAACATGACAGTGATTTATTGGGTCACGTTAAAGCGGGCCTCGATGAGGTCGCAGCTCAGAGGAGGAAGGCCCAGGAGGCCAATGGGGATGAAGAAGAAGAGGAAGAGGAGGCCTACTCCGATGGTATATCCAAATATGGACGTACGGGTGATAACCAGACATTTGGATCACGGACTTCAATAACTGGGGCATTAAGCTCTCGTACTTCCTTTATTGGAACGGACTCGGATAGCCGTGCTGCATCCATAAGCAAACTGAACACTCTCTATAATTCTGAATACCACAGTTATAGTGACCATGAAGAAACCCCTTCTCCAAGGGTTTTAAGCAATGCAGGTTTGTCATTAGAGGAATTGATTGACGATGTTACGACATATACCAGTCGTGTTCACTCGCCTGAGCCAATAACCCCCACCCAGGGGCTAAAACAGGCCTCCCCATACCCCCCTAAACCTGCCCCACCCCCTAGGCAAGCCCCACCCACAGAACGCCAATCACAGTCAGAATCCCCTTCACAAAGCTCACAATATGATAATGTTAACACTAACTCAGATCAATATGAACAGGATCTTGAACAAACTTTGGAACGTATTGAAAAAGATACATCCGATAACCCCGTAGTCTATCAAGAAAATGTATCAACGGTGCGTGTTAATGGATACACAAGCCAGACTAGTAACAGTACTACAGTAGAGACAACAAATACTAAACTTGTGCACCAAAAATATGTCAGTCACACAAATGGACCGATCAATTTTGGTCTTGAAGAAGAGAGAAACAGCATACCGCCCCTGGGTTACAACAGGCGACCCCAAAGCATGCCATATGGAGGGTCTACCTCTGTAGTTCAAGGAAAACGCATGACTGCGCAAACACCTTCTCCAGAAAGAACAGCAGTCTATATATAACACATGGTGTTCTCCTAATAAATTTTCATAATTTAGTGCAAAATTATATAATAGCAATATGTCAAATAATTATTCAAAACATGTCCAATTTGGTTAGTTTGTCATTATGATCAAAGTTCGCGATTGGTTATGGGTACAAAATTATAACACTATTATATGAAAACAAATAATCAAAAACAGATCAAAATATTTCAGTTTTGGAAATGAGAAACCCTCAACTGGGTATGGCACCCAGTTGGTTTCAATTGGGTATGGTACCCAGTTGGTTTAATGTTTAGAAGATCACTTAACCCTTACATTAAAGTTGCTTTGTACAATCTCATTTTTCATTGATCATATATGTGCAATTAAGTAGTGTAATATTCACACTTTACAGTAGATTACAAGATGTATTCTCTCAATTGATCTATCTTAACCCTTGCCGAACTGAATTAATTGCCTGCAAAAAAATTTGCCATCATTTTTCATGCTTGATTAACGAGTATCAGCTTATACATCAAAAACTGTATTGAAATTCATGAACAAATAAAAAAAGTTATTACATTATTACCTGAACACCCTGTAAAGCATGTAATAAATCAAGAGAAAGCTTTAATGAACGTTAAAAATCTGTTTAAGACCACACTTCATTGAACCTCTTGACTACTAGGAGTGACGAGAAATTTCTCGTCACCTCAGAAATGACCTTGAAACCCAGAGTGACAAGAAAATCCCTCACAAAATTTTTCACTAAAATTGCTCTTATTTGAACATTTTTCATCCAGTTTACACCAAAATTATTTTAAAATGTGTAGAAATATTCTCTGCCGTCTAAAGTTACTAAGTTGAGCTTCTATAGTTGTATAGGTATGTAGTAAAATGTCAAATGGTGGCAAAAATGAAAAATTCTCTGGTTTCAACCGATTTTAGAGCCTGGGATTCAAGAGTTAAATACATTCTCAACTGCTTTTGCAGGGGTTAACAGAAGTGAATTCAACTAGATTGTTGACTTTACAAATGCTTTGGAGCTTGTATCAGTGAATGGCCCTTTATATCAATCAAAATTAGCACTAGTTATCGTATGAGATTAATTTTTTTGATGTCATTAATAAATATTTTTTTGATTTAATTGTAAACATTTAGCTTACTGTCTTCAGGTAGCAATATGTAAATTTGTTATCCAATTTGCTGCTACTTACAGACTTAAAGCAAATCCTGCAATGGTCCCTCGTCCATGAAATCTCGTAAAAGTCTCGTTTTCAATGCCCTACCAATATCCATGATGCCATCTATTTTTCATTTATATGGAAAAATGTCAATTCAGTGACAGGTAGGCCTAGTAAGGGTTATGATAGTAACTGAAATTATCCTCTCCTTATATTATAGAAATACATGAGTATCTTTCAGGGAATATGATTCTTTAGTTTGATATTCATATTCTCGTATAAACCCTGTGTGCAAAATGATCCATTACATATGATCTTATGTGCATAATGGCTGTATGTAGATAATTATCCAATACGAGGTCCAGGATATTGTGGTTATCCCAAGGCAAATATGATATATCTATATGAGGGTCAAGGGGTCCCTAAGCCAATTGTATTGGTCGAAGGATAAACCTCATATCCTGAATTGACTATCTGTTTATCCTATACCACCATGATGTGTTTTATACATCCATTTCAGTAGACATTTTTCTCAGGGTGTCCGAAAATACATAGATAATGCTTTAAATATACAGATAGTTTCTTCATAAAGTAGAGCTACAAAGCTATCAGGCAACAAATATAAATATATTTCAACTTTTTAACTTTCTTATGATTTTTATTTGTATCTAAAATTTCCATGTTCCCATGCTTGTGAAGTATAATGCATCTGCTTATTACTTGGTTCAGACATAAAGTTAAATTCTGCCTGCAGTTTTATTAAAATAAAAATGCAACATTTTACCAACTTGCTTCATACACCTCAAACATGTCAGAGTATGGGATAATATGTTATTCGAACATGATAATTTTCCAAACATGATAACACGTTCAAGTATGGAATAAACTGCTATGTAAGAAATTCGGCCGTTAATATGCATGTTAATCCAACTTTAAGAAATGGATAAAATCTGAATAATTGGGCTTTATTAAATTTTTCTGGCATTTAGATTTGACCCCTATGACAGTTCAGAATTGCTTGTAGCTCACTAGCTCCACCTATTAGCTAGACATGTGCCATTTGATGTTGTGTTGAAAACTTCCGCCTAAATAGCTCAAAGTTATATGTAAATGGTTGTGCTTTAGCTTTTGTCAAGTTTTATGAAAAAATTAAACCATTATAAATTGTGCCAAATGACCATGTTGGCAAATGTTTGGTTATTTTTGTTTATTTTTTTTCATTTTAATCATAGCAGTGCATATGTCATACTCATACAATTTAAATGTATCATCATATACATTTTGCAAACACAAAATGGTTTTAGAGTTAAATGTTGGCATAATGTATGACATATTTTCATTGATGTTAAACCTAATTAAGTGTGTTTTAAGATGCTTGGGACCATTATAACAGTATAATGCTAAGCCCTGTTATAATGCTAAGCCTTGTTATAATGCTAAGGCAAATGTGCAATGTCTTTTTTACTTAATAAACTCCTTAGTTTTCTGTTTGAGTTCAAAGGATCAGAAATATTAGCTTAGCTTAAATCATTTTATTTTTATTTAATGTATTCGAATTGATAATAATTGTCAGTATTATAAATATCCTTTGTTGATATATTTTTAGATTTAATTATTGTAAATAATTGGAAAATGTTTTCCAGTACATTAGGAAGGAAGGGTCCCTTAGCACCCAAGTGAAGTAAATTTCAAATTTGCATTTCTCTTCTCCAGCTTATTGCTAATGGTGAACTTTTATAACAGCTGCATATTACTTATAAATCATTCTTTAACGCCACAAATGGGGCGGTGTTCGGCGGCCGGCGTGTGCAACAAATGACAGGTGGTGATTCAGGTGATTAGGGGAGACTTCCGATGAAGAAAAATAGCATTTTAGAATGGGCTTTCAAAATAACAAAGCACAGATAATACAAATGTTAATTCTGCTGTGGTTTAATAATGCCCCCCCCCTCGATTACTCTCAAAACCAACTTGTTCATTTATTATTACCAGATGTCAAGAGACTCCTGTTTCTTGACACCCTTAAACCTGGCTTTAACATTTAAGCTGAGTTTAAATCCCCCCCCCCCCCAAATTAAATATCCAGATATAATGTGGGGTGGAATATGATATTATTTGACAGGCTCTCTGAAATATATTGGATGCAGAATATAAGTCTAGAAAATAAAAATTTATATTGAATATGTGAATTTGAAATAAGATTGTACCTAAAAAACACCCCCTCCCCATTTATGTTTGTGATACATACAAATTGTGTTGTTGCATCAAATTGTACAAAGGTAGCTTATTTTACATTTAGATGTACATTTTATGTTTTATTATTTACAGTACATTTAAACAGGAGACTGTCCAGGAAAATGTATTTTAAAACTGTACATTGTAAAATATACCCAATATACAATAGTAATATATGCAAGAAAGATTATCAAACATAATTGAATTGGTGTTAAGTTTTTATTGGAATATTTTTTATACGAATCCAAATTGTGTATTTATATTGATTTATAAATTCCACTTATCCATGCATTGTTTTAACTACTCTTTTACAGGTTTAATTTTATGTCTTAAAGAGATTCAAAAATTATACTTTTCATCTTCAAAATATTGATGGTGATTGGTTCTGATGATCCACAATCTTTGTCATGCAATTCTCGATCTAATTGTCATGTCTCTTAAAATACAACCCAATCTATCAGCTACCTTATCAAAAAACATTCCCTGAATTCAATGCGTTGTACATAAGTACCTTGGAATAAGTACCTTTAGGAATATGCAAAAATCAAATGTGTTCGTAGAGTTGTTTTTGAAAAAAAACTTTCTCTCAAATTGGTGAAGAGAACACGTTTCACAACTACTATGCGATTGACAATTTTTACCTTTTAAAATTCATAACACGATTAATAGTGGCTCGATTTTCATGAAAAAAGGAATTTGAAAAGAATGGTCATCATGCCAAATCAGTATCTACACTATACTCCAAAGGTTTCGCAACCTTAGCTCCCTCATTAAACTACGTGCTAAAGCCTCTTACTGTTTGAATTTTGAAGAAAATACTTATAATATTGATTAGAATATAAATTGACTTCATTCCCAAGCCGCCATTTTTTTCAAATTTTTCCTCAATTACAACATACCTGCCAGCCTATCGTATTTTACGGGAATCTACAGTACATTTTTTTTTCCGTAAAAATACCATTTCCCCGTAAACGCCCGTAAAAAATCTACCGTATTTTTTCCGAAATCTACCGTAATTTTTTTAAACTCGTTTTTTCCATGAGAACGGCCGTAAAATCTAGATCTACCGTAAATTTTTTATAAATCTAGGCCTACTGTAAAATTTTGAAAATCTACCGTAAATTTTTGAAAATCTACCGTATATCTGCTAAAATCTTTTTGTTCAAAGTAAGGGAACCTGGGGCAAAGCGGCCCTAAAATTTAATTTTGAGTTGCTCCGTACGGGGTATTTTCTTTTCTGTCAATCATCACGCACTTTGATTTTCCACTTTATTAATGGGTTCTGGTTTACATTTTTCGAGTGTTTAATACTTGCCTAGGACTATCTTCTGTGATTTTTAATGGTCAAAAATAATGTCGAGAGAAGGGCAGAACTGCCCGTGGGCGGGGTAAAATGGCCCACCCTCTGTTACATGGGTTTGAAAAGCAAAATTAATCAATTACAAGACTCCTCCACACACATCTTATCACAGACGTTCAAACCTTTTGACAGAAAAAGTATTCTTAACCGCTACCATAATTCTAGTCATTCGATATGTGTCGGAGGGAAATAAGGTAGAAACCAAATGTTGAAATTGTTCTTGTGCACTGCGATTTTTGTATGTTTTAATCTTTGTGGGCCGTTTTGCCCAAAAGACATGCGAATTTTCAAATAGACGTCATTTTAATTTGCCTGATATTTGTAGGTCGAAATTTTTACAAATAAAGAATAATATGCATGCTCTATGTAAATGTTAAATCAAAACGATATTCTATTGCCGGATTTTTCAGAGATTCTCGCAGGAGGGCTAATTTTCAAAAAGAAAGTGAAAAGTAGAATTTTCTCTTACATAAATCGAAACGCTGCTAGATTAAAAATGGGCGCTCGAGGAGGTGGCGGAAATTTCAAAATTCGATTATGTGACTTTTGAAGAACCATGTTTTTATAGCTCAAAATACATTTCGATGGACCACTTTGCCCCACAGGGCCGTTCTGCCCCATGTTCCCTTTCCGTAAAATCTCCCGTTATTGTTGGGAAATGCTGAAAAATTGAAGTCTTCTTGTACTGTCCCTGTAATATTCCTTTACCAACCCTGGTAAAGGAATATTAAGTTTAGTCACACAATATGCAAATTTACAAGCATGTATTTGCCTTACAAAATGATATTCTATAGAGAAAAAAATAAAATTATTCCGCAGACTTACTATTTTCTCCCTAAAATCTGGATACCTTACATACCGAACAGGCCTTCCAAATAAGCATAACAAAACTTATATTGAGTTCATGACATAGTGTTATATACCAGATGGGTTACCTTTAAAATGATATATAAATCAATGTATCATATTGAACATAGCTATTTTCATTCTGATTTAAAGTTGGGTATTGGCTTTTTGGTCCACCCTGTATAATGTGTTTATAAAACAACATCCAACAGTAAAATTACCAACAAAAAACGGTTTAACAAGATGAAACCATCAATGTTGGTATAGTTGATATTTTTCCCAACGTTATACAGTCATGTGACACGATTATCATTAAACACATCAAAAGATTTGCCCCAAGCACGAGTGAAACCCTGGCCTGCACCGTGAGGTAAACGGCAACGAAGGAAAGACAGTACACAAGTTAAAATTATGATTAAGTTTCATATTTGCACGCATTTAAACAAAAGATATTTGATTAAATAAAATTCAGGTCGAATCAGTACAACTTTAACATCAAGGAAGATTGTTACCTAATACCGAACGCATGACTTTATAGCAGCTGATGGGCTGATCAAGACCTCTATTCTTCTATCCTTATGATTCTTAATATCCGTTGTGTCTCGCCCAACTTATTACCCTGATCAAGCTAATCCAATATCCTGGACGATGAAGGGTTGACCAATCAAAAGGTGGTACATCTAGTATAAAAACAGGAACATCCCTATTTTGATATCATATCAGCGTAGCAGAAACACAATACCAGAAACGAGAGACGAAACAAGAGGGGAATTGACAAAATGAATACGAAGATCGCTGTACTTTGTTTAGGTGAGTACAAAACTGTGTTTCTTAAATTGACTACTTACTATATACAGGGTGGGCCAATAAATATTGGAACATTTTTCTTTTTATTCAATTTTCTATACTATTGCAGTTCAGTTCACAAAAATTCAGATAATGGTAAAATGATTATTTGTGAAAATGTTAAAATACAAATATGTTTGTATGATTATTTTTGGCTTGTCATGGTCATGATCTGTATACTGTGTGCGTCATGAAAAATTTCCAAATTTTTCTCTGCTTGAGACATCATTGCTCAAAAACAGTATCTCATACCATACAATATATGCCCTTCAAATAGTGTCAACACAATTTCCATCAATTGAAACATATGTAGTTATCTCTAGGAGAAGCTAGACATATCTCCCTTGGATAATATAGCTTAACTGACCTCAGCTTTTATCAAAACTGGCACGACATTTTGGGCAATGTGAGTCATCATATATAATGAATGACCAATATCTTCACCACTGATGGATGATATTCAAATCAAATTTATTTTTCACTTATTCGAAGAAGTAGGACTTCACCATCGATTAACTTTTCTTACAATTAGGATTTTCTTGAAAAAAACTAGTTGAAGAAAGTATTTTACTCGGTTTAGATATATTTATGTTATCTAACGTATGAGGACCACACTTTACGATGATGAACCATCAACAATTCCAAAAGCTCATTCTATCATTGAACCGGGGATATAAAGTCAGCACGTGTCTGTTTTCGGGGCAAAATTGATTTTCACAAAAACAATATAATAAAAATGTTGAATTGGTTTTTATGAAAAATGAGAAAATAGGTTCTGTGGTTTCAAACCCAATCCCCCTTGGTTAAAAACGATTCTTAAAGCCAGTGCTGATTGGGCCAAGCGAGAATTAATCAGTTTTTAATACAAGTTTTTTTATACAAGTATCGATATTTTATTCAGTTTTCGGTTTTGGCATTAGAGATGCTCGAACTGACTGCGAAATAAATAGTAACTTCTCCTTTAATGATAATTCGTTTCTTACGCAAACTTGGACATACATACTAGAGCTTGAGAAATGTCCTTTTCTAGAAATCAGTGCAACAGTAGCATGCCTTGTCTCAGTAATTGCAGTAATTCATCCATCTGGCCCTTTAATATTCATGTCCCAAAGAGGATCGACTCCCAGACGTCCATCCCGATGGACGACCTTGAC